GCATGTACAGTAGTACATACATGTTCACATCTTCTTTTTAATAATAGAAGAAGAAAACAAAAATTCATTAGCTTTATTTCCAGAAGAGACATGAACAGCAAATAAACCATTCAGGCTTGAAATCAAGCTAGACACGTACTACTTCTACGCCAGTTCTTTCTACATATGGCCCTTCAGTCACTCCTCATTGTAATATTATGTCGCACCGAACCAGTTTCTCCCCATATGGCACCTTAATGATCTCCACTGTCACAACCATCTTCAGGTTTGGCATCAACATGACGTGCCTATAATTATGAATTGATGAGCCGTTAGGCTGGCAGTCTTTGGATAATGTAAATACATGTACAAGATGAAAGTGATGTACATGTACATACATGTACTGTAGTAGGTTTTTTCTTCTTCTGTCTCCCTTAGATTTTATATGTTGATCAACATCTACATGTATGTGTATGTAAGATTTACATTTGTTTATGTGACAAATTGAAATTTGACAATTTTTGGCATGACCACATTCTTTTTATTACTGTTCAGTGTGTGATGTTGCTATTTTATTTACAAATGGGTCCAATAAAAAAAATAAGCATGGCAACTTAAATGTACATGTACACTTACACACACTTTCGTGTATACACCTTAGGGTGTTGTAAATAAGGAAGAAAAACAATTTAAAAATAAATTCAATTACTGGTTTAAAAAAACATGTACATTAGGGGGAAGTTCTAGTATCAACTAAACATACAGTACATGTTTATAATTTCAGTTTCACGTGCACAATGGCATTATAATCAGAATATTTATCAACAAAATGTCCTTTGTTTCAAATTACATTTACGGTACATGTACATGTACATTGCATGTGCTTCAAGCAGACAAAATATACAAGATACTCATTCCATCTTTCTAGATACATGTTAACACAAGCAACTCCAAGGTTTTGGGTCCCCCCCCCCCTCTCCCTTGTACACTACTAAGTACAGTGTATAAATAAGGAACACAATTACAAGTACAATGCACATACATGTATGTAACGTCACAAGTGTCCATTTCCTTGAGATGTATATTTCGCTTGATCCAAGCAGGGTTATTATCCTCATACAACCGTCAGGCATATAAATAGCTTTATAGTCGAAAAATGTATAGCTTGGACTTTCAACATAATGAGCCAATCATTTTCTCAAAATTCTCTTGTCTAGATCTTCATACACCAGAACAACCCTGGCCATGAAGACATGGTCAATGATCTTATTTTAATGAAACTATGTCACAATCCCTTTACATCAGGTTTTTGTCCGCCATGTATTCATGACATTGAAAAACCATGCACCTAAGTACATGGTGTATATGATTACAATAACGTAACCTTGGCCTCAATGTTCAAATGCATGTCGTTGCTGTCACGTATTCATGTACCACATGAACCCATAGGGGGACAAAATGTTTATGAATGTCTGACTGAATCAGCCTGGACTCCTCAAAATTGGCACTGCTTAAATTTTCTTTCAAAGGGGAAGTCCACCCTGATATTAAGTTATGGTAATATTAATAGAAGCAGAAAATGAGAGAAACAAGTCAGTGAAAGTTTGAGCAAAACAAAAAATGATTATATATAAGAAAGTAATGAATTTTTTAAAGGTTTGATCAATTGAACACAAAAATGGCAACTCTGTGACGTATCTTGCGAGCTCCCCTCCCATTTGCCGTGTACTAATAAACAAACTTCAAAAATTTATATTTTCCCTTCAAAAGATTTTCAATGATACATTCACCCTAGATTTAATTATTGTAAATATATCTTTCAACACCCCCTGTTAAGAAATAAATCTATTCCGTCATCAATGACTATAGAATATATGAAAGTTTATGAAATATTCTATACAGTGCAAATTGGAGAGGAGCTCGCAAAGTATGCCACAGAGTTGCCAATTTGTATTTGATTTATCGTAACTTCAAAAATTCATAATTTTCTCATTTTTCATTGAATTTTGCTCAAACTTTCACTGACCTGCTTCTCTCAATTTTTCTGCTTCTATCAATACCAACATAATATCAAGGTGGACTTCCCCTTTAATTTGTACATGTTCATGTCCTGCTTACATTCTATAGACCAAGACTTTTCTGTTGGAGAGGACTTTTGCAGTCTGTGTTAAATAAAATCATTGAATTAATCTTTATAGTCTGAACATACTGTCAGGGTGCTACAAGAATTGTTTTCACCACTTGCCCTGTCGGGCAAGTGGGTTTTCAATTTACTTGCCCAAACAATATTTCCACTTGCCCAAAACTTTAAAGCGAAAAAGGACTCGAGGTTAAAGCATTTATTATCTCGTAATGATAAGTTAGTGTTTTAGATAGCAAATTAATGCACATACATGTACAGTGTAACTGTACTGAATAATAACCTAATATGTCAAAGAAAATGGTCAACAAAGGATGGTTGAAGGTTTAAAAAACGCATTTTATTGATTCTCCATAAATAATCAGATTCACATGAATCTCGGCAAGGTAGAATGGTTCAAGCAGGTTTAAGTTTTTAATATTCAGTCATGTAAAAAAGCATAATGACCCTGTTGTAAAAAATATGATACAAACATGTCATTAATGGTAGCCACATGTACCATGGTGCAACATCACATGTGTGTCTGTGCAAGCCGCTGTCATTTGGAAACGTAGGCTAATTTTCAGCTGTTAATAATTTGGGTCAACTCTTCCATCAAGAAACGTCATGTAAATAATGGGTAATCAACTATTTTAAATAAAGTACGGACATTTTTATTTCATCATTCACTGCTATAAATATCATGCCAAAATTTGTAAATTCTTACTAAATAATAATATTGAAGATATTTTACGATAAATCTCGGATAAGTATGCGAAAACTAGACTAAACAACGTCGCTAAAACCATGAAAACAAAACAACAACGGCTTATATTCTGGGGGTCTCGATACTATTATCAAAATGACTCGCTCGGTCGGATCTTGAGACCGCAGTAATAAATTGAAAACGAGACAAAAACATTCATCTGATTTATATGAGCAGAGAGTTTTAAATAATATGTTCACAATCATTAACAGTCATTATGAATAAATATCAAACATTTGACTTTTTGTACTTACTAGAAAATCCCTGTTGTTTATTCCATTCCGATTCGCACGTGTTCATTTCCCTAGAATAATGACGTCATATTTGGCGTGATTCAACCAATCGGCAATCAGAGAATAGCAAAGGCCTGTCGGTGCGGCCTGCAGAGCTAGAGAGAGAGAGCGCGAATAAGCTCGCAGCTGGTACGATCGCGCTAGCTGTCTCTAGCTAGCTCACGGCCGGTGTGGTAGGCGATTTGTTCCGGGTTCCGCGGAACAGATCGGCGCGCCGATTTGTTCCTCGGAACGAATCTACTGGATCGACTCGTTCGCAGATACGTTCGAAAGCCGCCGTTCTTATCCGACATTGGCCGAACGTTTCTGCTTATATAATCGCGTATATTTTTATTACTTGTGTCGAATAAACATGGTAAAAATAATTTTTAGCTTTATCTTGATACTTTTGTATTTATTGTTGCAATGAAAACCAATATTATTTATTTTTTGTCGGCTAGTACCAAGGGTTGAAAATTCAACAAAATATGTCGGGTTTTTCTTTTATTTCTTTTTTTTTTATTCTGCCGGACACGTCTTTTACTTGAGGAATTTTCTTTCTCTTCATTTCTTTTTTAAATTTTTTATTGGTCCTTCTTAATTATCAGCTCGACCACTCATTTCTTTTTGTGTTGACCCCGGCCCCCCCCCCCCCACCCCGCATCTCTTTCATTTAAACTAGAGTCTACATGTACATCATGCATGCAGCCCACATGCATAATTAGATTCTGTGATGATCGAAGCCCGGTAATAGGTGGTTGACGTAACACGATATCATATAAAGCAGCATTCAAACCAAATTAGAAGGCCTGATTAGAAAACACCCCGACATCTGCTTTTACAGGCAAACTAAGCCTATGGCAACAACTGCCCTTTTTGCTAGACCACCCAGTCCCCGTCGCTTCGCGACGGCGCTGTTTGTGGTCAATCATTGGCCGCAATTATCAACATATTTGAACAACGGGAATCTGCATTTCTATACAAAGTTCTCAAATTGGCAATCGTTGGCGTAGCTAATTTGGAGAAGTTTGATTGGTTGCAAAGGCCGACCAGAATAGTTCATTTTGCTTTAGGGGTGTACCATGGCGTGTATTCAATAATACGTGAGCACGCACGCTCTCCGATGAGATTCGGAACGGATCGCCTGGCCGGAACCGATCGCCTGTGACTAGCGGAACGAATCTACGAATCCGGAACAAATCGGCGGGTACATATCCAGGCGATCGGTTCCGGAGGAACCGATCGCCTGCACGGAACAAATCGCCTATGACACCGGCCGTGCGTGGAGGCGGAGCGGCATTCATGGCTTGAAGTGTCACTGTTGCATGCGCGCTGAGCTAGCTGAGCTGGCTAGCTGTCTGTGAAGTTTTTTCGAAATCGGAACGATCGCTTTTTTGCTTATGGATTTTGACGACGGGTAAGAAGTTGACGGGTGAATGGTAGAGTTCTTGGACACTAGGAAATTACTGTAAAAGTATCACTTGCCCGAATCGGGCAAGTGATAATTTGATTTACTTGCCCGACGGCTCAATTTGGTTGCCCCGGGACGTCGGGCAAGCGGGTTTGTCGCGCCCTGACTGTACATGAACATTGTACAAGTACAACTGTTTTTTTCTTTTTCAACATCTAGATTTATAGGCCTGTATTCGACTAAATATCAAATCTTACACTCGGCTTAAATGCTTGCATTCAAAATCAAGTTAACAAGTCAGTCTGAGGTCGAAATTGTTCGTTTTGGGGGATGTGATTTCAAAAAAGGGGTTTGGTATAACTGAATTAGTAGAATACCGAGCTATGGACCACAAACTTTGCTTCTATTGGAGGGTGGGTTAGTGTGTATAAATGGGTTTTGAGCAGGACTTACTCTGATCGCTGTAGTTCTTCAACTTGAGGCCGGTCTGTTTACCACTCATCTCCATTTGCTCCACTCGCGCCTGTAGGAGGCGCTTTTCTTGATCGTTAACATCCTCATACTCCAAGAATTTCTGTACAATACAAAGACAGAAGAGGAGAAGAGTAACATTATAATCTCCATGTACACTGCAGACACAAAAATGCAACATAAATTTCACTAAAAGATGATTTAAAAAAAAATAGAGACAGTTAACCTCCTTTGGTGTGAATGAAGAAATACAATGCCTACATTTAATGAGATTAAATAATTAAATACTTGCCATGGATCATCATTTAAGCACAAAATGAATGTACAGCAAATTTTGAAACCCTACAAAGTCTCCCTGAGCATGCAATTTAAAGAGATTAATTATTGGATTGAACAAGAAAGAAGAGGAACAGAACATATATAGTTCCATTGTCAGGACGTAATATCAAATTGATCTTAATTATCAAGGCTACTGTACATTCTGTACTTGTACATGTATGAATTGCTGATCCATGCATAATTTTACACGTAAATTCTAAAAGTCATCATGTAATTCATTTGATTAGAGATGTCTCTACACAACTATCATTTTGATTGACTGATCATGTAAGCATACAGTACAAATTCTTGTTTACTCAGATTACATTTTTCATTACTCAAGGCTTTGCTACACGATACACACTTAACATACATGTACATGTACATACATGTGCATTTGAAACCACAGGGATCTTCTACTTTTAATGGGAATAAATTACCAGCGTGTCAAAAAAAATACAAACATGTACTGTAACTGTACATGTACATTGTATGTAGAATAGTAGATTGTTCCAAAGTCAGAGAAGTGAAAGAGGAGTAAACAAATGAAAATTAATAAATTGACTCCTACAACATTCCTTGTTAAAGGTGGTCATGCGATTGCATTGTGAAAGAAACGATATGGAATCGATCAGAAAAGGTTGATCATCTAGCATACACACTGTACATGGTGTGTACTGCAAGGTTCTGGAATCATCAAAATGATAAGAAATTTGGCCCAGTCTTGGTAAAGTTACAAGCACTGCATACAGAAAGATGTATATGGGACTATGCGATAAATTATTATATGTATCCGGACTGGATAGATATAATAATTTAACAAATATATCAATTAGTAGGCGGTTTCCCGGCAAAATTTGTATCATCACGTATTAGTCAGAACATATTCCTTCACATGATTGGTAATAAGAGCTTCCTTTTCATTTTTTGAGAGGGGGGCGTTTCCAAAACTGGTCTATACCTTAATGTTTACCATAACATTGATTGCACAAAGTCTTGGATGTAAATCAAGGACCTACACAACTACACATACATATTTATGGTCCTTGATGAAATATATTTCAAACAACTACATACAGTAGCCATATTTGTGAATAAAAGGTCAATTAGACATTGTATATTGTACCGGTATGCCAATTGTATTGTGTCTCCTATGTCTTATTTTTCCTATGGATTGATTGTGCAAAACTAATGATAGAAAATAAAGACATTGGCCAGTTCCAATCCAATCAAAATAATGATTTGTTAAATTAATTATTTGCTTATTTTAACATCTCTAGGGATTAGTATGAGGATATAAATAAAGAGGCAGAAAGGAAAACAGATGGGGATTTTCCCATCTGCATCAATTTAGGTTTGAATAAGATATTTCTGCAGCTTCACTCCTAAATCACTTTTTTTGTTCTCATTGGCTTTTCTCCTCATTCCCCGACTGCTTTTTGTGTTATGTCATTATTACATTACAGGACTGGTAGTTGTAGTCCTTTTACTGTCATTATTCGTATAACACCAGCCAGACGTGCTCAGGGGGACTCATTAAACTGCAGATGTTACGATAATTATCAGGAATTAATAAAAGGGTGAATCCAAAATCAATCTCCCAAGCATCCCTGAGCCAGAATCCCTGGCCTGCAGGCCCCAAGAAAAACACAAGCGCCTCAAAAATGCAATTTACTCATTGCCTGCAGGGCCCAGACAAGCATTAATGATGGTTGCGCTGCATTCATGACATGTAGTTTGCAAGTTGGTGAGACGTGCTTTGTAGTGCTTTGTAATATACATACTGTACAGATTATGTTCATGTACGTTGCATCATGAGTCTCGATCATGATGCAAACTTAATGCTGTCATGAACTTGATGAAGCTGATAACCGATGGGATGAAAGACAATAATAATAATATAGAGGTGTGTCATTAACTCTCCCGATATGTTACATGTAAATGTAATACAAAGTTTTGGGAAATTTTGGAAATAGGCTGGATAGTGTGGGTGTACATTATAAGCACTAGAAAATTTAGCCTCTAAAACGCTTCTGCTTTCGAGAAAATGGAATATCAAAATTTATTGGTGCTCCCGGGAAATTTTGATAAATTTCAAATAGCACCTACAGCCATACAATGGTACATGTAGCTGCGACCATGAAAATCTCAGAATATGTAGTTGTGATATAATTTCCAAACGGGAATAGCCAATCGATCGATTTTAGTCAATAAATATTGTTTTAGAGCTAATTAATTTTTTGACCTTGAGAGGGAGCTATACAACATAAACAGTTTATTATTTACAATGAGACTCGATTTCAACCGCGACAACTATCACGGAATATTGTAAGATCGCATATGCTTCCAATATGTTCATTTGAACCAAATTCATGACCCCATACCAAAACTTTGTATTACCAAGTACAGTTCTACATGTACAGGTACATACAATGTGTCGTTCCAAATAGACCAAATAAAGGATATCCTCTTTCTTGTAAGTTTCTCATGATCATGACTACCACAATGTTTGCAATTTTCTCCCAAGCCCTGGTACATTAAGGAAGTCCCCCATTGTGATTAAGTGCCGTCAACACTAATTATAATAAACGACTTCTTTTCAGAAAAGGCAATTAGCGGAAGCATTCCGCACCCAGTCACCATGTCCTGCATGGAACCTTTAATTTTCCCATGAGGCATCATCCAGTACAAACATGTAAGGCAATTACAGCTCTGTATACATTGTAAAGGACTTACAATGTCAAGATGAAGTCCACTCTGATAATAAGTTTGTTTTAATAGATACAAGGAAAAAAATGAGAAGAACAGATCAGTGAAGGTTTGAGAAAAATCGGACAATACCGGTAAATTAAAATAAGAAAATTATGGATTTTTAAAATCCATAACTTTTCATGAAATGCTTCAAATCTGTGAGTCAAATTGGCAACGCTGTCTCTAAATTTGGTGTCACCCCCTCACATTTCATCCTTTGTTGAATACAAGAAATGTCATCAAATTCCATTTTGATAATTTAAGATATATTTTATTCATGTCTATCTCGATCATACATGTACAATGTATATTACGGATAACATGTACGTACATGTACGGTGTACATGTTCATTCATGCATTATTATATACCGGTAATACTGTATTGGTCTACGTACATGTATACCATTAACATTCAGAGAAATGGAGATTTTAGGTAATTCTGTCATTTAGATCAAATGGTGAATTGTGAGGGGATGACATCACAATTTCTGATCGCATTGCCAATTTGTCTCAAAATTCCATGATGTTGTCAGGGCTCCATGCTAACTTTTATTTTTGGAAGGGGATTCCATATTAAAGGGGAAGGGAAGCCCGACATGTATATTAAAATGCTTAAATTGTGGGGTCCGGACTTGGATTTTGGGTGGCCACATGTCCCAGGCACCTACATGTATTAGTGTCGACTGTAGTGTACATGTAGGCCCACCTGTATTTTTATTGCTATCTCAATTTCTACAAAAAGTACAATTACTGGTACCGGTAGGCACATGTTGATGTAATCTAACCATGACATTCAAGACAATGGTTCCAGAAATATGAATGAAAAATTAAGTAGGGGCTTGTACATGTACATGTATGTACACTGTTAGTGTTTCATTAAAAATTGCAACTTTAATTAATACAGCTTACACTTTATCTAATGTATTGTAAACGAGAGTCATAATTTCCAAGAATATGCTGTGAGTTGCTAAAATTTAATGTTGTGTCAGTTGTACCTCAACTTTTGTTCACAGCATGAATTATTCGCCACTTTACAAGTCTGAAATACTTGCAAATTTTGCAATTTGTTTCATGTGTACATACAACTGTACATGTATGCCAAAGCTTCTGTTTTTCAATAATTATACACATATGCACATGGACAAGAATCAGCGTCTGGTAGTGGTAGTAATACATGTAGTTGTATGGAGGCCTCCATATTTGGACAGACACACCTGCAGACTACAATGTCAATGTTCAGTTCAGTTTAGTTTCTTTTATTTCACATGAAGAAAAAATGAATAAATTAACAAAACATATCATATTTACCAAATTTATATTCATGAACAATAAAGACATCTACTCAGTATAAGTTTGAATTGCATTTACACCAGATAATGTTGAAGTAAAATGTGAAAAAATGAACTTAAAAAAAGGCATATACCGTTTGTACAGTTTAAGTTCCTCAGAAAAAAATTGACACAGTGTCATCCATAATCAGGTAGTAGTATAATAATTAAAATCAAAGAATACAGACAGAGACAAAAACAATGAAATGATATGGATGATGGATGTAAGAAGAAAAAAATAGGTTGAGAAGGCAAAGAATGGGAGTCAGAAGAAGAAGAATGAGAAGAGAGAAAAGGATAGAATGTTGAAGGTCGGGAGTCGGTGAGGGGGGGGGGGGGGTGTGTCTGTTTTGGGGGGAGTGGATGCAATCACATTATACAAACATAAACATGACCCTCCCTTCATATCAAGAATGTGACAATGTCAATTTTCTACGGCAGTATCATGATAAAGTATATGAATTAGTATTTGAATAAAAATTGAAGGCAAAGGTCCCTCAGGAGAACTGCTGTATTACAGACAACAATCTCTGTCATGTGATGAGTAGGGCTTACACATGGAAGCTCACAAACAGGATTATACACGGTAATACACGCACTCCTCATTACACGTATGACTCATTGCTTCAAGTCTAGGCTTTGCCTCAGTACTATAGCAGGCCTCAATATAGCACTACAGTTGTATATGAATTATGCATGTCCCGGGCAATAATACAGTGTTGTGACTATGGAGTGTAAAAGGGAAGGGAATTAGCTATATTTGGCAATTATTTCCTTTTTGTCCCTTTCTATTAAAAAAATGAATAATTTAAAGTACATGTAACATGGTTTTGTATACAATCACTGGAGACAGACTTTTACATATAAGGCCCGCCTTCCTGTCTTGTCTCATTTCATTAATCCCCCCTTGTTTTTTGTGTCTTCTCTGCATGTGTTATTCTCATTTTATATATTGATATTATTTTTAAACTTTTATATGTTTGTTTTCCTTTGTATATTTTTAATGAAAGTATTGAATAAAGTGAACTTGAACTTGAACCTGAACTGTTACATGTAAGTACATATACATGTACATGTAAAAAACATGTACTGTATGTAAAACTTCATTAGGCCTAAAGGTATAGACCAGTTTTGGAAACGCCCTCCTCTGAAAAAATGAAATGGAAGCTCTTATTACCAATCATGTGAAAGAATAAGTTTTGACTAATACAATTGTACGTGATGATACAAATTTTGCCTGGAAACTGCCTACTAATTGATATATTTAGTAATTTATCATATCCGGCCTGGACAGATATCGCGTAGTCCCATATACATCTTTCTGTGTACATGTACATGTACAGTGCTTATAAATTTACCAAGGCTGGGCCAAATTTCTAATCATTATGATTCCTGGGGGGTGTTTCACAAAGATCCTAAGTAGAACTTAACACTAAGTTTGACTTAAAAATTATGGACAGCTATTGGAGCCTTAAAATGAAATATACTCAAAAGCAGAAATTCAAGTATTTTAGACATTTTATAAATTCCACAACAAGAATATGAAATCTCCTTAATGATAGAAAATATGAATGATTTGAATAAACATTTTATGCCTTTCAAAAATATTTTTACCAAATATTTTCAAAGATGCTAATGGCTTTCCATAATTTTTAAGTCCAACTTAGAGTTAAGTTCTACTTAGGATCTTTGTGAAACACCCCCCAGAACCTTGCAGTACACAACAATACTTACATGTATATACATGTATGCTGGATGATCAACCTTTTCTGATCGATTCCATAACGTTTCTTTTACAATGCAATCCCATGACCAGAACTGGTCTATACCTTTAAGCTTAAGACACACTACATGTAGACGTACAGTGTATGACTGGTTGCCAATTTCTGACAACCTAAAAAACAAGGGGCGAACAATGACAAGCAGTCTTCAATAATTTATAGTGGGCAATTGGTTGCTGATGGTTTGTTAGGCAATTGCTGATCGGTTACCGAATTTTGTAAGAAAATGATTGTGGTTGACTTTTTTGCAAACGCTCAAGGAAATATTGGTGAATGGTAGTCAGTTGTTTGGCTTATGGCCAGCAAGCAACTAGTCAATGATCGGTTGTTGATGTTTTTAAAACTGTCAGAAAAATTCTATTGAGGGATGGTTATGATTTGTTGGTTATTATTAGCAATTATATATATTTTTTTGACATTGTGATGTTTATTAAAGCAGAATATAGATTTTAACATAAAAATAAAAACCACTGTCATGAAAAATAGAGAAGGGGATAGAGGGAAATGGTTTATATATTATGGAATGCTACATAGATGATGGCAAAGCTATGTAAGGATAACAGTGAGAAGCAGTACTGGTAGGTACAATGTAGTTGATCAAGAAAAAGTAAGGATTGATATTCTTAGTTTTCTTTGTTCTTTTTGTGTTTTTGCTCTTTTTCTTTATTATCATTTTCATTATCATCAATCTGTGCCTGGAAGGGCAAAAGCGAACAGTGACCCTCTGGTCTCTACAAAGGGGTTTCCCCCTACTCTTAAGGAATAGTGCAGTGGGTTCTTAACATGAATAGGTGGTGACTCTCCTCTACATGGGACCTTCATTTAGCGTCCCACCCAAAGGTTAGAGTGTTTTACACTGTAACATAGCATGCATCAAGGAAACATGGGAGGGGCACATTAACACACAATGCAGGCTTCTTCTGTCATCAATGGTAAAGACTTACCAAACTGACTAAATTTATGAACCAGCAATATGGACGTACATGTAGGACCAAAGTTCGCGCGTGACCTATTAAAGTTCGCTATCTCGAAAAATCAGTGAGATTTCACAAATCTGATATCACCAATTAAAAGAGGAACATAAAATTACCCAGAATTTAAATTTTCTTGGAATTGGGTATGAAATTGTGAAAATATTGACAAAAGACTGGCAAATTTTGCAATCTTTTGCGTCCGTTCCGAAAAATTATCAACTTACATGTACCGATAAGGGTCTGAAAATATTTAATTTGAGAGCAGATTTCCTAAAAATTGTAAGTAAAAAGTGGTACCAACTGATTGTATCATATCTTGTCAAGTTTGCAAATTATGATATTACCTTATTTTTGATGGATCGCTTTTTTTGATAAATCAACTGTAAACCCCCGTGCGTGAAGTTAGGTCTCGTTGTTTTTATGACTTTTTTTGATGCAGTGCGCACGCACGATGGGACATCAAATTTTTAGATCGCAATATCTCTGACATCCTTCGACGATGAATTTTCTATTTGAACAAATTTGTAGTAAAAAAATTTGCCGTCCATTTGGTAATAGAATAATTGAAATAAATAAATTTGTGTAGACCTAGACTAGAATATGAGAAATCATAGATCGCATATCACATTTTTTAATATGTTCTAAAATGTCCGCGAACTTTGGTCACTCCTTCATGGAGTAACAACAGGAATTTCCAAGTGTCTAAAGTTGCATTTCTTGTACTACTAGATCTAGTAGTAACTGGTTGTCAGCAGTTGCATACGTTTGGATGCTAATACTAGGTCTAGGCCTAGATCTAGTCTAGATCTATTTTGTAACATTAAATGTTTTGTAAATGAAGGGGAATGCAAAGCCTGATAATTCTGACAGGTTTAGGACTAGGAGCTCCTCTATTTCACAACAATCTACTTATTCTGCTATGAACCAAATGTTATGGAGCGCCAAGTGCAAGTCGTCATATCGAACCGGCGATTTCACGCCCATTTCAAAAATATACATTTCCATTTCAATATCCACCCACCTGTTCCGACTGTTTTCGTAGCTGTTTTTCCCGTTCATACTGTGTAATAAGCTGCTCATTATCGTCTTTAATCAATTCCAATTCCACCTCATGTTCTTGATTTTCCGTGACGGTATTTTCGAGTGTTTCCAAAACGTTGACAACAAGCGGCATCAATTCTTTGACGACGTCTTCATCGTAAGTTTTGATCATCTGCTCGAACTCGCGATAAATGCTGGCCGCAATACCCTGAACCCTCTCCGACATGACCGAGGGCCCCGTCTCGTCTCCCGTGCCATACACGGTCTCAAGCCCGTCGTCCATCATCTTGGCTTCAGCTGCTTGTTTCGACTTTTAAATGGCTAAATCGACGATTAATTCCACTAATTTCTCCACTAATGTGGTCTTCAGATCAATGGTTTCAGAAGTAAAAGTAAAGTATATTCAAAGTCTGGACCATTTAGCACAAAATTGGTGTTATTTGATGGCCATTTTGATGACTTACAAGCGCAAGAACGATGACACATCACTCGGAAAACGATCTAGCTGAAAAAAATGTTCAATCATAGGCAAAAGATGGCGCTATACCAGCAAATGACAAGACCTTTGACGGTCTTACAACATATTATTTTTTTAACCAAATTTCTACAAAGTTCACCTTTTGACATGGGGCATTTTAATTATGGAGAAGAAAGATCGAGCATGAATGTGAAAATTTAGATATATCGATGACAATTAAACACCAAATTTGCAATTCAGTGAGTGGTTTATATTTAGTATGATATTATTAAAATGTTGGTTTAATATTTTGTTTCTATCTTTATCATTTATTATCATCATTATCTAGTTAATTTATTTTTTGGATAAGAACGGGATTTCCCGAAATTAAGTTACCGATTGTTGGTTCCACCTTCATCTCTCCTCCTCTCATTAATTTTCCCAATCCTCTCTTCCCCTTCTCAAAATCTTCATCCATTTCATATCTCTTTCTTCCTTTTCTCTCTCTCTTCTCCTTTCCTTCTTTTTTCTCTTATACTCATTAATTCATCGCTTCTCTCTTCCCCTCGCGTGATCTCATACTCCTTAAATTCCCACTCATTCTTCTCTTATTCTCTATTCATTTGCTCTTTCTTCCATCCTCTTCCTCTCTCCTCTCATCCTATATTCATTTTCCCTTCCATCCTCTTTTTCTCCCTTTCCTTTTCATTTGATTTCTTCTCACCCTCCATCCAATCCTTTTTTTCATTCCATATTAATCATCCATTCATTTCACCTTTATTCTCATCCTCTTTCTGTTCGTCTCCCGTTTACTCCCTCTCATTTGCTCATCCGTCATCCATTCCCTCTTTCTTCCATCCTTTCCCTCTCATTCTATATTTCTCAACCTCCATTAATTTCCTTCTCTTCCATCCTTATTTTCCTCAAATTCATTCCCTCTGTCATCCTTCATCCACTCATTCAGTCTCGTCAATAAACCGTCATCCATTCCGTCTCTCACATTCTTTCCCCTTATCATTCCATATTTATCATCCTCCTCTCTTCTCATCCTCTTTCTGTTCCCCCTTTCCCCGTTCACTCCCTCTCATCCGTCATCCATTCCCTCTCTCTTCCGTCCTGTTCCACTCATTCTTCAACCTCCATTCATTTTCCCTCTCTTCCCATCTCTCATCCTTTTCATTCTATATTTCTAATCCTCCATTCATCCCCTCCCTCTCTTCTTTCCATTCTCACAATTACTCTTTTACCGATGGATCTACAATGATTGAAATAAATCCTATCTGGCATCTTGAAATTTCATTTTTTTTTTTAAATCAAATTTTTAGCATTTCATATCACGTGTGCACTGCTGCAATGTATACTTCCTTGTATTTTTCATTTCATTATACTGTATTTCTTTTGTACATTCTATTTATAATATTATTATTGATATCCCTCTGTCTATATTGTATTCTTATTGTAAACTGCCCCCTTCAGCTGGTGCTGCTGGTTAGTTTTTATACACTAATAATTATTTTTAAAAAAATTTGACCAATGGCTAGCATGAATAAACACACCTCAAACATGATGATATTTTATTGTTATTATTTTTTTAATATCATGAACCTAGCATGTATTTAATACAAATTTCGACATTACTTCAAGAATGAGCTACAAAGCTCATGATTTTAAAAAAGAGAGAAAATCAATAGAAACAGGTCCAATGAATGCCACAGGCCCCTAATATTTGCTCACAACTCACAAGCCTGATGAATTTTGTGTGGAGCTTTGGACTCACCCTGGCATACATAAAATGTAAATTATGTTCATGACTTATGCCAGAAGTGAATATTCATGTAATATGACGATATGTCTCTTTAGAACTGAAATTCCTTATTTGCTTCTCTGGCTTACGCTTTCCTTTCGTTTTTCATACTCTTACATGAACATACACACAATTTGCATACAAATCAAACCGTGAGACATCATCGCTTATGTGAAGATTCTTTTAAACTCACATATCCCTGGTTTGTCTGCAATATGACATTTACTGCCAATGACATTACATATACATGATATGAACTGCTAAATTGCAAGCATCTAAATACTAATATTTGATAAAATACAAAGAGATAACATAGTATTTATGTATAGTGAAACCATGTTATACAGAGCAGTGATATAACAAACTTTCATTACATCTAGGTAATTTTGCCAGTCCCACACAGTTCTTTGCCTTCTATTATTTGTGTGTTTGCTTTCTTGTTTGTTTTTAGCGCAAACATAATAAGTTTCAATATAGCAAAGTTAATTTCTTTGGCCCAAAAGAGGTTCTTATGACTAGGTTCCAATGTACATAAAATAGATTAAAGGAAACCTACCCCCAAGAAACAACTTAAGTCATTCTGAGAGATTTATTGTATTCCCATTAATCTACAAGATTCTCCAGCAAAGTTTATGAGAGAGGAATATAACATCAGTGCAATGTTAAGTGTCTTAGCATAACATGGGCATCACCATTTTCTTGATAACATAGCGTAATGCGAACTCCATCATAAAGTAAATGTATTCAAATTCATGAATATCTCCTTCCCATGCCCTTGTCATGCTTAAAAGACAGACACGATGCCAAGAATATATTCAATTATAATATAAAAGTAAGGAATATTGGCGATCAATAGGCATGAATAAAAGTTATCTTTCAGCATGCCTACAATTATTCTTTAGGGTGAGGTTTCCATTGATTGTATTGTGACAGGATCCAAACACGTTTCCAGGTAGCAGAGACTATCATGATTCATAGAAGCCTAGTTGATCCAACACAATGGGAGCTGCATGAAGTGAAAGAAAAGTACAAAACACCAGATTAAAAGCTAGAATATCAAGTTAAATAATTTGCATATGCACACAATTTATATTTTACATTATTAGTTTGTATATTGTTAGACATTGTTGAGTATTCTAGTTTTTCAAAGTATTGATTCTTATAATAAATTTATTATTTTTTGTTTTGTTACGTTTTCTAAACTGATTTGTAGCGAAATTTGTTTCGATGTTTAAGGGGTTAGGCTCGACTAGCACATGTGCTATTATCTGGCCCTTTTACCACTTCTTGTACGTAAAATCATTGTATGCTGTTGGTAAATAAATCAAATCAAATCAAATCAAATCAAATCAAATCAACTGCAGTCGTATCAGAACAATATGCATGCATTAACGTCTGTGTTTCTACACCACGGACAAAAGAGCATCTCATGGACTATCTAGAGGTTGTATGTCATTGCAATAAGAATCTGAAAAAAACTAGGCACTGACGGACGACATCAATGCAACAAAGTCATGTACTTCTGAAGTGAAAATAACACTGTTAATAGTCGTTTCATAAACTCCAAGCACATTGACCGATACTCCGATAGTCTACTACTTTTTTTTAAAACAGCATATATTGAATGATTAACATGTTTCAAGGTATTTAGTTAATGCCTGAAAGTCTCATTGCCATCAAAAACACAACACAATAATAATTAGCAAATGCTGATCAAATTCGCTAGTGCCTTGATACAGGGCTAATGTGGAAAGCAGTTTTGCAACTGACAATGATACCCTGTAAAATTAAACTACAAATAAATAAATAGGATATAATCAACTTTTTAATCTCCAAGACATCTAGTCATAAACAATTATGATTTACATTATTTTGTTGACTGCAAAAAGGCTGCTACTGCTATTGGCATAACATAGCTATTAGCCTCTTCCTATTTCTCTCTGCCCCCCCCTCTCTCTCTCTCTCCCCCTTCTCTTTCTCTCTTTCTCTCCCTCTCCCTCTTTCTCTCCCTCTCCCTCTCTCTCTCTCAGACACCTTAGCTTTTACCACCTTCTTGTGGGGTTTGGCTCGTGATAGTTTTAGCTTAGGGTCAGTAATTTATAAATAACGTAAAGAAAATAAACATACTTAATCTCAATGCAGCAACTATTGCAGCAAAGATGGTGACATTGCCATAGACGGATTTCCTCATCATGTCATGCTCTTCCTTAGACTGTTCTGGTGGTGGGCCTGGGGGCTGCATTTTAAACATGATGATCGGATCGGACTAAACTTCTTGGAAAAATACCTGTAAATTTGAAGAAAAAAAAGAAAAAAAGATTAGTATACATGTATGGTACATTCACAAAGAACTTGCAGCTTGAAAGCAGGAATAAAAAGTAACAGAGGGGTACATAATATGGACTTCAAAATTTCAAAAGTCTTAACATTTTTCCTGGTGCATTTTTTACTTAAAACTTCTTTAACAAATATAAATAAATTCATTAAGAAACAAAATAAAGGTTGTCACAATTCAGGTGCACTTTGGGTTCCAGAATGCTATAAGCTTTTTTACTGTATAGAGATATATTACACCATTCTGTTGCTGTCTAGCTGCAGTCACATCATGAAATCCCATCCTATTCCTAGTCTCTGGTATCTACATTTGTGAGGCCATGCAAGACTATATGTCTGGCTCCACTGACAAATGTCAGTTTTATTGAAGAATTCCCCATACCTGACGGTTATTTCAGTGTATAATCCCATCCCAGGTTAGGTTGGAAAAGCTGCTTCAGGGATAGACAGAAATAACCGTCTGATATGGGTCATTTCTTTAATAAAACTGACATTTGTTGACATCCAAGAGGCTGTCAGACGAGCCAGATGCAATCTCAGAGACTGAAGCTTTCGGTCTACTTCAGGGATTATCTCATCAAGGTTCAAGGTGAATGTGTTACTGTTACACCCCCCCCCCAACAAATAACAATAATCATTAAACAAACCAAAATAAAAGCAAAAAGCTTTGGTGCAGTGTACGTGTACCACGGTGACAAATGCTCTAACTTACTCTAACTCAACTGCATGCTGCTTCTGCCACTGGTACTAACATTTAGATTACATAAATTCAGAAACAGAACCAGAGTTAGATTATTAATGTTAAGATTATAATTTCTCAATCAATTTCACGAATATCTTTATTAGCTCTTCCTCCCTCTTTCTAACTTCGATCGATGTGTATATTGTGGACCATGTACACGGTAATGAGCACGCTTAAAACAACTGTGACCATGTCTCACTTGCCTCCTAAAACTCTGGGGGAACTCTCGGGGCCGGGAGCTCTTATCACGCTCGCTCCAGCGTGCCATCGTACCGGTACTCATTTTAGCTCACGCCGTGCATGCAGTTTCTCACTCTGATCATTTCAAACCACACTGCAATCATTCATCGCATTATGAAACTATCATGCCCACTTACCTTCAGTATTTTGTCTGCTTACTGTAGAAGAAGATCAGGACTATTATTGCACAAATCTGAATCAGTGAAACAGGTATTGACGTTGCTTTTTAACAGATAAAATTACCGTATTGTGTGAGTGCTAAGTCAGTGTACGCGTGTGAGCTACAAGCTTTGGGAATTGCATAACCGGCTTGTATTCACTCTGCATGCTGGCATGGCTGGAGCTGAGCTGGGGGCCTCGTCACGGTGCACAGGCGAGGCTAGGCGGCCAGGCGCGGGTACTTGCGGGGACCGAGGAGCTTCGCCTCGTATAGCTTAGGTGGAAGCGGGAGGGGGTGTGATAATAGGCAAGAGCTAATAAAAAAAGAAAGAAGGATGAAGCTGATTGTGACTGATGACGAAGCATGATGATGATGATGAGATGAGGTGATGATCATGATAACGATTAACTCCTGGAAGCTATGACGCCGACGCCAAAGAAGCTTGCTGGAGTATGACGAGAGGATATGACGGTTGGTGGTGATGATGAAGGTGGTGGTGATCGATGATGAAGGTGGTGGTGATGATGATGATGATGATGATGATGATGATGATGACGATGATGATGAGGATGATGGTCGATGATTAATGTTGATGATTATTCTGATGATGATCAAATGGACATGATGAATTCAATTGAATTATCATATTCATTGTCTATAATATACAATATTCATGTTTTATATAGTCAAAATTTTCTTCGCCCACATTGCATGCCCATTAATTGACATACAATTTACTTTACAAATTATGGGCTCTAGTTCATTGGGAATTTGCGACACCATTCCGGTGTTTACCCCAATAACGGATGCTAGCTGTCAATTAATCACATACTAGCCTGGCTGGCTTAATTACTTCGAATCATCAGTCACCGCGTCCCATCTAATAGATGAGGGCCCGATATTTCACAAATATTATAGCCACAGCATTTTTTGAGTATAAGGTTAGGTATGTTTTCTCAAAAGGTTGCAGGTAATATATGTGACCACGGCCACGGCCCGACCTGATTTGATTGACGTGATGACCTGATGATTCGAAGACAGTCTGCATGATGGCCATACAGTCTACAGACTTGCCAGCGTCACAAGCAATGTGTATATATATTTATAGTCAATAACCATGCAGGATAAGACTTCAGTTTTATGACCAACAGGCCTTATGTATAAATGCTCCCCCTATCATTATCTTACATCTCTCTGTAAAATAAAGTTACATACCGTTAGATATTTTGCAAAGCTATACCATAATAGGTACACATACATAAAAGTTTGAATAGCATGTAAATCTTCCCATTTCTGCCTAGAGCCAGACTATTGGGTATATGCAATACAATACTGTACATATTATTTTTTAATGGGATCTAACAAGTAAGAACATGCTAATCAAGGTTATAGCGCCCCCAAGTAAATCTGTCATTATTCCACATTGAATGCAATAGCAAAATAGATATTCATTTGTTGTTCAATGGATTTACAACTTATCTGAAGAAGTCTGTTGATTGTGCCTATTGCACAATTGAAGATTATTGTACTCAGATCTGTTTTAAATGCAACAGCTGTAGCCTGTGAGAGATAAATTTAATTGCTGCAGGCCTATTTTAACATGATTAATTTTATACTGCCTGTGTTTTGCAGATCCATGGTGGACAGAAATATACCCCTGCATCAGTGGTCTTCCATACAAGCAATCCGGACAAGGAGACCCCTCACATTAGCAACGCTCCAGACTTACCCATAGTGCACCATGATGGCTACGAGTCTTATCTTCCTCCTGGCCATCGCTTCCAGATGAGAAAGTTCAACAAACTTAGAGGTGATTAATTAGACAGTGGTGTTAGGCTAGAGGTCATATGCAGTATGTCAGGGTTTTGATAAGAAATGTTTTTTATTAAAAGAAGAAGAAGAAGAAAAACCACCAACCATGATTTGTATTGTTCTAAAAATAATTTATTGATTAATTTTTTTTTAACAGCTAGAAGCATGTTCTCACTGCTGTATTTCTCTCAAAGTCGTTTAATTACTGTAACACCAGCTAGTGCATGCAACTATGGCGTATCTAGCTTCAAGGTATTATGGGGGGTCCAGACAACTCGCCACAAAGACAACCCGCCCCAAGACAACCCGCCACAATACCCTGGACATCTCGCCACAATACCCTGGACAACGATCGCCACAGACGAGCTGTCCAGGGTGGGGTGCCTTTTCGGACAACTCGCCACACTTTTTTCCCCTCATGATTTCTAGATCTAAAATCCCTCATCTTAGATGAAATTGTCATTTTTCATGATTTTCGTACTTTTATAAACACATGTCATTACAAAGAATAAAGAATAAAGCTGATTTCCCTTGCAACAATAATACATTTTTGACAACTGACCGAAGGCGTACGATCGCCAGATCATTGAGATAACTTCTCGGTAGATTTAGAGGTCTATAACAGCTGCATTTTAATGGTAGGATACTGGAAGCACAGGCGTACTGATAGGGGGGGGGGGGGGGGGAGTTAACCCGCGAAATAAAATTGGAATGTGGTTTAGTTCTAGATTTTCTGGGTTTGTTTCGTCAGAGGCGGCATTCTTTGTTGGGGGGGGGGGGGGTACACTGTGCCCACACTTTTTCAGGGTCCCCTAAAGTGCCCCCTTATCCTTTGTACATGTCCTTTTCCCTTCTGATAATTTTTAATGGTAGGAATTCATGGAAGGATAGGCCTACGTACTGGAAGTACTGGCGTATTGATGGGGGAGGGGGCAGTTGACCCACAAAATAAAATTGAAATGTGGTTTATTTCTAAATTTTCTGGGTTAGTTTCGCACTTTTGCCCACAGTCAGAGGCGGGATTCTTGGTTTGGGGGGGGGGGGGGTGGGAGACACTGTGCCTCCACTTTTTATTATTTATTCACATATTAAGGTGTGAAAACATTATCCAAGTCTACTGACCTAAAATGGCCTTTGACCTTGTGACCTGGAATTTGTGTCATATGATTTGTGATACCTGATAACCATTGGGTACAAGTTTCATGGAATTTGATCAAACACTTTTGAAAATATGCTAAAAATTCAAATCTTGATGTTGATGCCACAAAAAGTCTAAGTTTGTTGACCTAAAATGACCTTTGACCTTAACTTAGTGACTGGAATTCTACTCACATGATTGGGGATACTTGATTACCCTATAGTCCAAGTTTCATTGACTAAGGACTTATACTTTCAAAATCATATCATACATTCAAAAACTTAACCTTAGGTTAAGTTTTCATGATGATACAACAACATAGTCTAAGTTTAGTCTAAATCTTTAGTCTAAAATCATCTTTATTCTTTAGAACAGCTCTCAAAATACTCACAATTTCCATGTTTCCTGTAATGACTGTGTTTATAAAAGCACAAAAATCATGAAAAATGACAATTTCATCTAAGATGAGGGATTTTAGATCTAGAAATCATGAGGGGAAAAAAGTGTGGCGAGATGTCCAGGGTATTGTGGCGGGTTGTCTTGGGGCGGGTTGTCTGGAATTCGTATTATGGCACCACAGGAAAACGATGATATTACAATATATTTTTTGCATTTCAAACCCTACAAAATGCAATTTCTTATGCACTTTACCCATATGAAAATTTGCATGGGAGCGCCGTGATCACAGGCATAATATGAGCTTTTTTTCATGAAGGTTGATCCCTTCCTCTTTGACTGTTATCAACACTGTATGCTTCACCTCGATTTTGCAGATGTTCTTCTACACGATGGGGTCATATCAAAGAAACAGATGAGCAGCCCTGTTCATGTTACCAAGGATGAGCTGATCCGTGTGCACACTGAGGAGTACATTGAGAAGTTCTTTGAAGGCAAGACGAGTGCAAAGGAACAACGCGTCACTGGGTTCACATGGAGCGAGGGACTGGTATCAAGGTGTAGATATGAAACAGGTAAAATGATACTTCTTCTTCATACTATGAATATGACGGACAAAGGTGAATATGCATGTGACACCTGTTCTACACATTTTTACATAATAGCAGTGAAGGGATGTTCCTTTGTCTACCTGAGGAGCTGTATATTTTGTCCGCTTTCTCTGTCAGTCATGTTCATAGTGTCATCTTATGATCAAGTCTGCCTCCTTCAATTGACTGAAGATTCTTGAAAACTATGTGTATGTGTGTGTTAACCGCAATTTACTTCCATTTTAGTGCTATTTACATTAAATTATAATACAGTTTATTTACAAATATTTACAAGCTTATGTGTAGGATGGGGGAAGACTAGCAACTGTCACCAACCGTCTGCAGTCGATTATGGAAGCCTCCAACAGATGGCGCTGCAACAATTTCTGAGGGCAGGGAATTCCAATTCCTTACTGATCTCGAAAAGAACAAATGCTGATGCCATTCAGTTCTTATGGCATCTGATAGGAATGTGGTTGGGTGGCTCTCGTCGACTGGGTGACTTCTGTGATATAGTCCTGTGCCGGAAGATGAGCAAGATTGTTGTATATTTTATACATCATCTTCTTTCTTTTTGAGTACAGACCTCTTTACAGAGTATTATCGTACTATACTGGGGTGTGTGCAGGTGGACCTCTACACAGGGGTTTCCCCCTACTCTTATACGAACAGTGCAGTGGGTTCTTAACGTGCAAAGGTAGTGACTCTTCTCTACATGGGGCCTCCATTTAACGTCCTATCCGAGGGACAGACTGTTTTCCGCTTGACATAACCTGCGACTATGAACAAGGGAAGGGGCACGTTAACACACAACGCAGGCTTCAGTCATCCGCCTGGGTTGGAGTCTAACCCGGGATCTTTGGTTCGACGGGCGGACGCTTTACCGACTGAGCCAACTCGCCTCCTCATGGTTAGTCTGTCATTTTCTCTGCGCTGTAGAGTATGCGATGGATGACAAATCGAAGGCCAAAAGGTTGTGAAGGTTTTGTTCCATACTGGAGAGAAACTATGAGATATATCAAGCATTTTAGTTCAATCAAGATCAATTGAAGATGATTTATACCTTACCACTAAAGCTTTAGGGCACTCACACTGTGCTGAGCCTGATTTGTTTATTTCTGGAAAATAGCTTGTCTATAAGACTAACATTAAATTTTCCTGTTTCTGTGTTGATGTTGCAGGTGGCACCATCCTGGCTGCTGAGCTGGCCCTCGGGAGGGGCTTGGTGTGCAATACAGGAGGGGGCACTCACCACGCCTTCCCCGAACATGGAGCAGGTTTCTGTCTACTCAACGACATGGCAGTTGCAGCAAGTCTTATGGTGCATAGAGGGAAGGTTGACAGGGTACTGATTATCGACCTAGATGTACATCAGGTGAGAAACGTTTTAATTAAATTGTTTACAGGTATGTTGTCAACAAATTAGTAACAAGATTTTTTTTTCCTTGGGGGGGGGGGGGGGGGGGGGGGAGAGAAGATTTTTCATGCAGAGTATTGTTTTATTTAAGACCAGGTTACTAAGAATATAAGCTTGTAGATAAACGGCTAGTTGACCTAGAACATTAAGTCCTATTAAAAGGACTTAGTAATACAAGATTGATGTCTTTCCTATCTGTGACCTAGCTACCAGTTCCAAATCCAGTAGTCAGCCCCATCAGCCTTCCTTAAAACAATTGGGAGGCCTGTTTGCAAGTTCTCAAAGTTTCCTGATTGTTCTCAATCCTCTGTACCTCTCTGAAGGGTGACAGCACATCCCTTATCTTCCAGTAAGGCCCAGCGTCTTCACCCTCTATGTCCATCAAGGCAAGAAGTACTCTGTCAAGAAGCAACAAGGCACCCCTGCCATCTCTATAGATCCTTAGCCAGCTAGCAGACAACGAAGACATGAAGATCATTTAAGACCACATACTTCTCTTCTCTTAATAAATGAAATTATCTTTATATCCCTTCTTTCCTCTACTGGTCAAGGGTGATGGAACAGCCCTCATCTTTCAGGTAGACCCCGTTGTGTTCACCCATTCTGTCCACTGCAGTAGGAAGTATTCTGTCTAGAAGCAAGAGAGCAACCTTGACACCTCTGTAGATCCCGAGCCAGTTTGTGTTAAGTTTGTTTAGATTTTACAAGACCACATACATACATCCTCCTTTAATTGCTAACTTCAATGTCTGTCTTTATCCTCTGTTTCTTGTCAAGGGTGATGGTACAGTTCTTATCTTCCAGGAAGACCCCAAGACAGCTAGCAGACAATGAAGACATTAATATCATTCAAGACCACATATCCTTGTCTTCTCTTTATAAATGAAAATATCTTTATATCCCTTCTCTCCTTCCCTGGTCACTGGTGATGGAACAGCCCTCATCCTCCAGGAAGATCCCATTGTGTTCACCCTTTCTGTCCACTGCAGTAAGAACTATCCTGTCTAAAAAGCAATAGAGCAACCTTGACACCTCTGTCGATCCCAAGACAGTTCACGTTTAGTACAATATGGTTTTACAAGACCACATACATATATCCTCCTTTAATTGCTATTAAACTTCAATGTCTGTCTTTATCCTCTGTTTATTGTCAAGGGTGATGGCACGGCTCTTATCTTCCAGGAAGACCCCAGTGTGTTCACACTGTCTGTTCATTGTGGCAAGAACTACCCTCTCAAGAAGCAACAGAGCGACCTTGATGTCTCTGTAGATCGTGGAACAGGGGATGATGACTACATGAGGATCATTCAAGACCACATACCATCGGTCCTGACAAATTTCCGCCCAGGACTGGTCTTCTTTGATGCCGGTGTCGATCCTCACAAGGATGATGCGTTAGGATATTTAGAGTTGACTGATCAGGGTAAGAAAAGGCACCAGCACCTGCCTTCACTGATATTAATACATTGATTTGCTAAGATTTTCTACCCAACCTTATTTATTTGTTTAAAAATTGGATATTAAAAAAAAGATCCCTATTTGATAAATTTCTTCCTTCCAGTCATTTTGCTGCATTTTAAAAGAAAAAGTTTAAAGGCTCTGTTGGAAGTGAAAAATGAAGTAGGTAATATATAGCAATGGAAAGCTTATAGGACATGGATTACAATATGATATCAATTGAATGCTATTTTAGTGTCTGTAAGAGGAGTAAAAGCCCTCTTAAAGCTCAAAGTCTAAAGCTTTGAAATTTAGAAGTTTTCGAATTGAAAACTAGCATCTTGTGTGGAATATGCATATTCACAATGACTTTGCAGTAATTTAGCATGGCTTATCGCCTCAGCTATATACATGTAGGTGAGCCAATCGGACCCACATATCATGTTGTCATTGTAACTATGGCAAATTTGAACCCTGTTGACCCGTAATTTGGTGGGGTGCAGAAAAAATGAGGTTTTAATTTGCATTTTAGCAATACTGAAAGGGAAAATATTTTTTAATTCCTTTATATAAATCATATTCTACATTCATTCAGCTTTCCATTGATTTAAAGTTGTATTTTTATCAGATTTTTATAAGATCTTTAACATGAGGTAGACATAAGAATTGCTTCACAGGAACTTTAGTGAAAGTTTAAATGTGTCAAATACATCAGTATTCCTAAAGTTTGGGCTGAAGTTTTTGTCGATCACAGATGCACACGAAGAGAAAGTTTAGTCCATTATTTTGGACTTACTTTTTAAGTTCATAAAAGATAATTAAACGTGACATGTATTTGCTTTTTGTAATAAATGTACCTTGGTCGACATACAACGTCCGATTTATTTCCTTGCTCTATGAAAATTGCGTCAATCTCAAATTATTGGTAAGGGAATCCTCTGTCCCATGCAGGTCTTTTCAGACGAGATTATTGGGTGATCAATGAGGTCATCCAGAGGGGAATCCCCTGTGTGACTGTCATAGGAGGAGGCTATGACAAGGACATTGATAGGCTTGCTGCCAGACACTCCATTGTACATAGAGCAGCAAAGAAGGTGAGGTATGATGTGTGTGTAATTGGGTTTTTACAGACGTGTATTAATATGATTATTTACGTGTGGGGACCAACCTTCTCCGTCACCATCCGAAAGACACGACTTGGTTTCTAACCAGGGTCTGCCCGAGTCAGTTTGTTGGCGAAAACAGAGAACTGACCAAGTGAACGTACTGCTAGACTAACTCGCATCTCCCTAAAGGGATATTGTAAAGGACATGGCACATAGCCTCTTAAAGAAGAATCTCACAACTTAATTTAGCGATCCTTATTTGCATGGTTGTATTGTGCGTGTTCAATATCTTGCAATGATCCCTTTGTTTGTCTTGGCTTATCGTGGCATGAGAAAAAGTTCACTTGTTTCTAATTATTAAACTTTCATTGACGGAGAAAAAAAGAGAAAAAAAAGTTTTCTTACAGTTAGAGAAGGAAAGAAAGCAGTTGCTTTTAGCAAGTAAATTATCCATTTGTTTGTAATTAATTAATTGATTTATTTCATTACCATCTATGTCACATCCCATATTGAGTTCATGATCATAATGAACTATGAACTGAATTTGAATGATCTTCTGTAATTACATTTTTCATTAATTTTGCTGTCCTTTTAAAAGTTAACATCAAGCTCTGGACATTACTTCTTGTAATGAAATTCATTCATGAGAAATTGACTGAAGTAATTGTATACAGTTCCCAACTTCCCACCATATAGAGCTGGTTATCATTTTATATGTAGTCATAAATATTCATTGGAAAAATCTTTTGATTCTTTGAGAATCTATGTAATGTCAGTGACAGCAACAGCCTTCTTGGAGGCAGCTGGAACCTGTTGCATAAAATTTGCCACTGATGATAACTTTGCCATCAATATTATCAGTCAACAGCCAATCATATCAAGGTTTCCATTGATGGCAAAGTTACCATCAAAACTGGAACTCATTGCATAAAACTTGCCACTGATGATAACTTTGCCATCAATATTATCAGTCAACAGCCAATCATATCAAGGTTTTCATTGATGGCAAAGTTACCATCAAAGCTGGAACTCGTTGCATAAAACTTGCCACTGATGTTAACTTTGCCATCAATGTTATCGGTCAATAGCCAATCACATCAAGGGTTCAATTGATTGCAAAGTTACCATCAAAGCTGGAACCCATTGCATAAAACTTGCCATTGATGGTAACTTTGCCAATCATATCAAGGTTTCCATGGAAGATGCCATTGATGGCAAAGTTACCATCAACAGTAAGTTTTTATGCAACATGGCCATGATAATTTATTTTTATTCAGTTCTCCATGTAGAACTTCAGATTAACCTTAAGATTATATTTAAGTGAATCTCTACTTTGTTTTAATAATAAGCTCTCCTGAACTTATTTTTTTCCCCTTTTTATATAGATGCTTCACCACAAACGTTTAACGTTTAAGTTTTCTGAGTAACTATTGATATTTTCTTCTTTATCTTTACATTTTAGGTTTGGCAAGAAAGGAGACTATGATGTGACAAGTGTACTCGATTCAGGGACTGCAATAGACCTTTACCAGAATATTTTTTCAAGTTCTAAGTGAAGTTTGTGATAAATCTTCACAAATTTATCCTTCAGAGCTTGAAATTAATCATGAACAAAAGAAAATTTATAAAGGCCTTCCAGCAGTATTTCTTCACAGGGTACCTGATTAAGTATCTGACATTAGCAATATGTTTTTGTGTGCTTTTGTAAGTATATAGTATTACATAATGCTTTTTGTATGTGATTTTGATTGAAATTGATAAATTTTGTAAACAACAAGACTAATATCAATAATATTGTGTTTATTTAAAGTCATACTGTGTAGTATATATTTTGGTAGAGTGTCATTACCATTCGACAAAGTTTTATAATAAATATTTCACATATTTTCAAGAGATAAATGTTTCAATTTATTAATTGTGAGTGTGAGTGTGAAATATTAAAGTACTATGTCCCATTTGCAGGCCAAAATTTTTTTAAAAAATGTTAAATTCCAACTGCATTTGAAAGATAATACTAATTTAGAACTTCCCTAAAAAAGGTAGGGCTTGAAAATGTCTTCAAGTGGGAAAATAACGACTATTAGTTGTCATATCGACTTTAGGGCTATAGAGCCCAAAAGTAATAGTCTTGATTTTCAGACAATTGTACCGAATGGTCATACGTTTTATGCTGCGCAAAGATTCAATCAGTTTAATCTTGGCCATCACAAGAATTGGGTTATTGATGTAGACAAATGCTCATGTACCCTTTACAACTCTTTTCATGGATGTTATTACCAAAGAAGGTAAAAAGCCAGTCAGTCACTCAATAGTGTCTGACAGTGAAGTCTAGCAAGTAAACGGGTTTCCTTGCATAATTTGAATATGAGGACACTGCTAACGTTTAAATTTCACAGATAGGACATACATGACATATTCATAATTCCTGCAAAGTTCTACAGAATTCGAGGTTGGCTGCAAAAGGGACATAGTACCTTTAAGTCTGTTTGATGATATACTGACTGAGCTTCACACAATTGATGACTGTTTCACAAATAAACATTAACAAAAAAATGTTTCCTTTTTAGTAAATTTATTGTTAATTTAAGATCACTCAGGTCATAATTTTATTACTACTACAAAGATTGAAGATGTAACATTGTATATATCTGAAATTATTATCAATGAAACTTGTTAAGCAAAATAAAAATGCCATTGTAAACAGGAAGATACAGATACTGTTTAGACACACGTATGAGTATTTGAGCATGTTACTTCCGTCTAATTCATTTAACCACTTTTGCAAAAAATATTAGATGCAGTGCTTAATTAACAAACTGCATTAACATGAAGAAATATCATTAAACATTTATTTCAATAACTGGCTCAATATAATTTGCTTCAACTAACACAGAATAGCAATTGCTGGTGATATATTGGTTCAAATAAATACTACTAGCAAATGCCTAGAAGAAGCAATTTGCCAGTCATACTTGTATGTATTTTTTTCATAAAATACAAAAGTAATCATTAGAAACATTTGATAATTGAAGAAATTTTGTACATATTATAAGTAATGGAATGTGGAGGTAGTTAATTTCACATTTTGGGGACATTTATACACTGGAAATCACACATACATTTCAACTACATGATTATACATTGCATTACCTATTGCTTTTAAAAAGACATTATATACAGTATAAATAATTTCATTATACACTGCACACGTTACGAAAATTGTACAAAGCTTTCAATCACAAATAAAAATGAATACAAATGAAGATATTGCAAAAATACAAAAATATTCAGACAAAAAGGGCTTATATACATATAATTTTTGTAATATAAATGTTCAAGGTGTTACTCTTTTTGAAAATACAAATTCTTTGTCCACATTTAAACTGGAAGGTAAATAAAGACGGTGAAAAGCAAATGAAAGCAAGTGAAAGTTAGTGAGATAAAACAGTATGAAGAGTGAAGATGGATAAAAAGTGAAAAGATAACGATTGTGATGGGTAGACAAATAGAAACAACAGAGACAGGCATACAAATTAAATTAAATAAAGAGAAATAAGGTGGAAGGAGAGATTGAATAGTAGAAAAAAAGATGGAAAGAAAAGAATGAAACAAATACAGAAGAGATAGAGGTGGGGGGGGGGGGGGGAGGTGAGACAGACGGAGAGAGAGAGAGAGAGATGGGGACAAATATGTATATCAGCCTTGTGTGCAACTGCTTTGTATTTTTTGGAAAAATATAGATTGGGAAGAACAAGATTAGGCTGTATCAGTTCAAAACATCTTTAAATTGTCTCTATACCACAAAGAATTTATGAAATTCCTGCTTCACAAAAATACAGCATCTTTTCTTCAGTAATAATCCAACTTTAAAACAGAAGAACCCTTCTTTCAATTGGTCAAATGAGAAAGATAGTGTAATTAAGAGACAGAAAATTGAATACACATAACCTTGAATGTTCTGCCCGAAGAAGCCCCTAAATTATGGACGGAATAATCTTAGAAAACTTTGGATTTCTTCTGAAGCACTTTTAATAATGAGCACATTTACATCACGTTTTATTTGGTATACAAGTTTATCACAGAAATGTACAAAACAAAGCCAATAATAAAAAAGTAGTGTAAAAAAATGCTGACAAGTCATTCCAAAATACATGTACATGTAGTCACAGCTTAGAAAGACATACGGACATATCACAGATAAATCTTTCTCAAAAACATCTCAGAAGAAAGTACTGTCTCGTCATATCAATTCTTTTTATGTGAGGTACGACTATAAAAAAGTCTTTTTTCTCCTATATTAAATGTTTTATACCAAGACACAAATATTTAGCTTCCTTGGGTGTATATCACAAAAATGTATTGGAAACTTACAGTGTTCATGGAGATTGCACACACATAATTTTCAGTACCGGTAGTTCACATTAAGTAAAGACTGCACTACTTTTGAAATGTGCAGCATACGGATATTATATCTCTTCTCCTATCTTTCCTTGCCATCTTTCCAGCTACATGTATCTCTTAATCTTCAAGCTATCTACTCTCATTCTTTATTCATCTCAGTGTCTTCTTCTTTTTGCGGTTTGTGTGTTTATGTGTGTGTCTCTCTTTTACATTTTTTCTCTAACAAAACCTTGCTTTCTCTTTCCCTTTCTCATCATTATTCTTTATATCATCACTATCCTAAAACTCTGTTTTCAATTCAATTCTCTCTCTCTCTCTCTCTCCTTCTCTCTCTCTCTCTCTCTCTCTCTCTCTCTCTCTCCTTCTCTTCTCATCTCTTCTACTGCTTCTCATCACCATTTTCAAACATCATCTTTTCTCCATTCTCTCTCTCTCTTCCATTTCTCATCTTTTCTTCTGGTTCTCAACACTATTCCCAAACAGTACTTTTCTCTATCTCTCTCTTCCTTTCTCAACTTCTCTCCATTTCCTCTCTATATATCTCTCTCTCTCATTCCTTCTCACCACTGTTCACTTTCTCCCCACTCTCATCCTCTTTCTTTTCTCCATTCCCTACACCAGCAATCAGCTTCTTCTCTTGTTCTTTCCTCTCCTTTTCTTGCTCCTCCAACTCCAGCCTCTTTTTCTCCTCTTCCCTCTTTCTGATCCTCTCCTTATATATCTCCTGTTCCTTGCGCTCCTGCATGGAGTTGAAGACCAGCTGCAGTGATTTGGAGAGCTCCACATTCTTCACTTCATCATTCCCTGCAAGAATTACAGAAAAATTTGAAAAGTAAAGTTAGCAAAAATCCTTTCATGTATATGCTTTGCTACGTTACAACAAACAATTGCAAGTTCAGATATCAACAGGTAATTTTTTTACATCTGGGCCCCATTTCACAAAACTTGTCTTCAATGACAATTTTTGTTACAAGCTAGTGAAATCCTTGCTTGCTTCTGATTGGTTATCAGCAGATTTGTCATTGATTTTTGTCATTTTCATTCTAAAAAGGCTTTGTGAAACAGGTCCCAGGTCTTGCCAGCTTTCCTGTAATGTGAGTCCCACATTGTTTTGATAATGCTGCTGCTCACATAACAAAGAGGTCTGTTTTTTCCTCCTATTGGATGTGGAATGAATCAGTCTTGTTTTCCAGCTTTAAAGTGTTTGATTAAAGGAATGCTTAAAAAGAAAAACCTGCCAACATTGTGTTTTAAAAAAAAAGGGCGACAACAAAAAAGGGGGAAAAAAAGATCATCACGTGATTTATCTACAAGCGACAAAATATATGCTTACCCATCATCTTCCTAGCTTCCTCCCCGTCAACTAGTGGATTGAGCCAGGTTGATTTGCGGACATTCTTGGCTTCTAGACCGGTCCCTCGTGGGACGTAGATCATGAAGACGATCTCGGAGACTTCTCTCTCCTTCAGCATCAAGTTGGGCTTATTGAAATCCTCTGTGGAAAATAATGCAGGTGAAAATTGGGGATGACGTGCTGAATTTTCCTTTAAAAACTCTTTAAAAGTAATCATAGGTTCTGGTCATGGAAACGTCCCTCAAGGTAAACTGGTGAAACTATCCTGGATTGTTTATGAAGCAGAAAATGAGTTTCTTGTAGAAAATCCAACCAACTGTAAAACATCAACGTGCAAGCAAGCATATGGGAACACAAGCTCTATTTGACAACACCTCCCCCCTTTGATTTCCTCATCTACTTTGCTAATTACTCAGCCCACTAGATTCATTCTAGTAGAGGCTACTGAGAAGAATCCTCAATGCAAAAGGATGCATACCTGCAATATTAGGGGTCTGTAAAAATATGAAAAAGAGCAGTATGGAAATAGCAATTCATCAATTAATTTTGATATAAAAAAAGCAGAAGGCAATATTACTTTTGTGCTAAGTTTTCAAGAGACCAATTTTATGGGTTAAATGCATGAGTGGTTTTCCACTACGTAGTTTAACAATGCTCAGCTTAAACTCACTCTTGGTTGCTCCTAGTAAAGCATTGTTGATCTCTCTCTGAGATGGATGGTGATCACATTCCTTGAGATAAGATGGGAGATCTTTGGCAGACATCTGTGTCTCAGGATGGATCCTCATAGCAAAGATGTACTCATAGTCTGTTTAAATACAAGAAAATGAGAGGTATTAATGATGATGATGATAACAGTAACATAACCAGTAGCATTATTGATCTCTCTCTCTCTGAGATGGATGATGATCACATTCCTTGAGATAAGATGGTAGATCTTTGGCAGACATCTGTGTCTCAGGGTGGATCCTCATAGCAAAGATGTACTCATAGTATGTAATAGATACAATGAAAGAAGTGATGATAATGAAGATAATACTGATTATACCAGTGATAACAGTAACATAACCAGTAGCATTATTGATCTCCCTCTGAGATGGATGATGATCAGATTGAGATAAGATGGGAGATCCTTGGCAGACATCTGGGTCTCAGGATGGATCCTCATAGCAAAGATGTACTCATAGTCTGTAATAGATACAATGAAAGAAGTAATGATAATGAAGAAAGTTATGATAATAACAGTGACGATAGTAACATAACCAGTAGCATTATTGATCTCTCTCTGAGATGGATGATGATCACATTCCGTGAGATAAGATGGTAGATCTTTGGCAGACATCTGTGTCTCAGGATGGATCCTCATAGCAAAGGTGTACTCATATTCTGTAATGGATACAATGAAAGAAGTAATGATAATGAAGATAGTTATGATGATAATGATAATGGTAGTGACACAACCAGTAGCATGATTGATCCCTCTCTCTGAGATGGATGGTGATCACATTCCTTGAGATAAGATGGTAGATCTTTGGCAGACATCTGTGTCTCAGGATGGATCCTCATAGCAAAGATGTACTCATATTCTGTAATGGATACATTGAAAGAAGTAATGATAATGAAGATAGTTATGATGATAATGATAATGGTAGTGACACAACCAGTAGCATGATTGATCTCTCTCTGAGATGGATGATGATCACATTCCTTGAGATAAGAAGGCAGATCTTTGGCAGACATCTGTGTCTCAGGATGGATCCTCATAGCAAAGATGTACTCATAGTCTGTGTGAATTACAATATTGAAGAATATTACAAAAGTCACATGGAGAAAAGATCCATGTAACAGAAAGACAAGGACAGGTAGGTGGTAAATGGAGTCCAATGATGTAAAGCTGCTTCTTTCATATCTTCCTTTATTTTACTCACCTTTTTCCCACCAATCCATACATTTTATTTTATTTTGGGGGTAAATTTCCTTAATGAATCTTAATTCCACTTGTCAAAATTATTTTGATTTACTTGTGCACCATCTGTGTTCTACATGTAATTCAATACAAGCGCTATAATTCTTCTGACAAGAAATTACAGGGAGCAATTGAAATGATTTGTATTCATACGTCTTTATAAAAATATGATTTGAATAAATTGTGCAAAAAAGTTTATAATACTTTGAAGTTTTGATATCAAAATAAATAGCAAACAAAACTTAAGAAAAATATTTTATAGCAATTTGCAGAGAGGGCATGCCAGTACATGTGCACGATTGTGAAGATTTTGAAATAAAATAAAATTTTACATGTCTCATCTTGAACTCACATTTCTTTTATCCATGAATTCATCCATCTGCCAGAGGTCTAGATGTATCCTGGGTTTCTTGGCACCATGCCATCTAGCAATCTTCTTCATCAGCTGGTAGTAGTACTTGATGAAAGACTTGAACGAGCCAGCATGGATGCGACTCTGAATAAAAGGGGAGAATTGGGAGAGACAAGTAGGAGCAAGTTCAAAAAAGAGTATGTAGAATCATACTGGGTCCACGATACACAAATTATACCAATGCCTGCCAAATATGTGGACTCTCAACGCTTGAATCCAGAAGGGTAAAGCTTTGTCTGGATTTTGCTACATCCTTAGCTAAGCACCCAACATGTAGTACCTGGTTACCTCTTCGGAAAAACGTACCCATCTCCTTACGACATGCATCTAGATATCAACAGTTCAAGTGCAAAACCAATCGTTTCCAAAATAGCCCCATACCTTACTTTGTCGACCTTCTCAATAAAGCCAAGCCCAATTAATCAAAGTAGATGAATAATATACATTTTTTTTTTGTATTATACTCTTTTTCACAGATGTTGAAGTTTCCTGATTTTTACTCTCCATAAGATAATAACAAACCAAATTAACACAATTCTGTTCCCTTTCCCTTCAATAGCCACTTTATATCTGAAGGAAAAGTAATTTTAGAGTGCCACAATTGTTCTGTTTTTTGTATATCATTTCTCTCAGCAATAATATAAAGACTTGGAATATCAATCTTCAACAATGTTATGAAAAGAATATGTACTTTTCTACTTCTTATTTTCGTATATTGTCTTAATGACTCTTTAAAAATACATGTATGCAATTTATATTTTTTGATGTACATGCATTTTCTACAACTTCCTCTTATACTTTTTTCTTCATGTTTCTCCTCTCCGTTTTCCTGACTTCATGTTAAATTCTGTTTTCTTATTTTTGCTGCCCAAGCAATCTTATCAAAGTAACTTTATATACATGCATTTCAGTATTGTCAAATTAATTGTAACTATATTTTATGTTTGAAATATGCAATGAGTGTTTCATTTGTACACATGATCAATTCAGCCATTGGGCTGCGATACATGTTTTTTTAATAAACCTTGACCTTGATTCAAGAAACATGCACTTTCACTTTGACTCTGTAATATACTACATAAATTCAAGGGCAATATCATTATTAAAAGCGTCTTTTATTTTTAACCTACGAACAAAGAGAAGGGAGAGAGATGTTTAACATACACGATTAAAAGAGTACAACGGTAGTGTATCTAGTGATGGATACAACACCAGAGAGATCAAAAACAGCACATCACTAGCCAAGAAGGATTTCTCTTTTATCACTAGGGTACTGACAGTAAAAAGGCTCAATCTAAGAGACTTGTCAAATGTCTGGTTTGGAGTGTAGCATTGTATGGATCTGAAACTTGAACAATCAGGAGAGCAGAGGAAAGTATGATTGACCGTTTGGAAATGTGGCTGTGGAGAAGAATGGAAGGAATTAGTTGGAGGGACAGGGTCACCAATGAGGAAGTTTTCGATAGAGTGGATGAACAAAGTAGCTTAAAAAAAAACGATCTGAAGACGGAATAAAAGGTGGATAGGACACATCTTACGGGGGATAACAAGCTCAGAGACATCTTGGAAGGGAAGATGGATGGTAATCGGTGGGGAGATGAAGACCAAAATTTGGGATGGTGTCAGACTTGGTAGGTGACAGAATGAAGAAGAAGGCTAAAGATAGAGAGGGTTGGAGAAAGAACTTAAGAAGGCTATTGTGTGTGGACCTGCCTTTGGCAGAATGCCTGAGAGAGAATAGTGAGAAGACTCATAATGCTTTCAAATTGAGGGGAGGAACAAAGGGGGGGGGGGGGGCTGGGACTCATGTTTAATAATAGCCGTGATCACTGCACTTTGATTCTGTGTTATATATATATTTTTTGATTTTCAGCTTTGTCTGTCATATAATTGGTCATCTACTCGTGCTACTAGTGCCATACTCACCTTTTCCTTTACTTTAGCAAGCATTTTCCGGATGATCATCCCTCTAACAAACCTGTGAAATTAAAATATACAGAATAATTAGAGATACCTTTTTTGAGAAGACGTTGTGTGTGTATAGAAGCCCCAAAGACTTAATTTCAGACGATGGTACTGCCACTATCAATGGTGATGATTAAGACATCAGAAAATGGAAATGTACATGTATGTTCATTCATTCAACCCATACGGTGTGAAGATTGCATAAAATGTCAGTATGCTGTAAATTTAAAGAGTACGAGCCAGAGCCACAGTGGCTTGATAATTCTACACATTCATATACAGTCGAACCTGTCACCTCTGTATAAAGGCCACGTATCTATTGTGGTAAACTATATTGCCTTCTCCTAAGATGAAACTTGTGTTTTTTCGGAACCTGACTAGAAAGGCCACCTGTCTACATGGGGCACTTTTTGCGTTTCCCATGGGTGGCCTTCATTGACAGGTTTGACTGTATTTCTTCTAGGTTTTCCATTTCATTACAGACTGGCACAGATTCCTTGAAATAATATTTAGTATTTAGTATATATACATACTAAGGCAGAGAATGTTCAATTTATAGAATAGCTTCAAATGAAATAGGAGTTCCCCTGAATATTATAATCTATATTACTGAGTATAAGATATCACAAAAGGCAGCGATAAACACAATATAAAGCCAAATCATAACAAAAACATGTGTGAAATAATGTTAAATTGGAGGGGGTAAAAAGGATTGTGACTGGGTATTAAATGTGTTTTGATTTCCTACCTCTGTATGCTGATAGCTGCTCTTCTCATGACTGCCTTAGACACACCTCTGGACTGTGCATTGAATAACCTGGTAGAATACAAAACAAATGTGGCCATTTTACAAGTTGAAACAGGCAGAAAGAGAGAGATACATGTACACAGGTTCATCAAAATAAAAGACAACGATGATGCTTCAATCACACGTATTAAATCCTACAGTATTTCCAGTGAGAGTTTTAAAAAATACCCCTAATTTTTACAGAACTCGAATTGCATTCAAGCTTTATTTCTATGCATGCATGGTTTATTTGTATGTATTCATGGTTTATTTATACGCATTTAAAGATTATTTATACGCATTCAAAGTTTTTTTTATATGCATTCAAGGTTTATTTATATGCATTCATGGTTTATTTATATGCATTCATGGTTTATTTATATGCATTCAAGGTTTATTTATATGCATTCAAGGTTTATTTATATGTATATTCAAGGTTTATTTATATGCATTCATGGTTTATTTATATGCATTCAAGGTTTATTTATATGCATTCAAGGTTTTTTTATATGTATATTCAAGGTTTATTTATATGCATTCAAGGTTTATTTATATGTATATTCAAGGTTTATTTAATACATTCAAGGTTGATTTAAATGCATTATGATCCTAAATGACTTTGTAGATTAGACAGAAAAACAGAACACTGTTGACATAGATGACACTTAAGATAAGTATAATAATCACATGGGGATAAAATGTCCTTCTCTTTTATTATTTTCTTACGGATGAATAGAAATACAATCTTACTCATGAATATCTACACTCGGTCCTATCCTTTTGAGAAGGGCCATCTGATGTCTGTTTTCAGCGGCTTGTCTGCACAAATTAAGAGAGAGAAAAGGGTCACTCATAACAAATCATACTTGAAGGCAGAGTTGGCTTATCTCAAATGGTTCTTCACCTTTTTAGCCTTATGGCACCATCAGAGCAACGTATGATATTGATATTGACATAATCACTACGAGATATGATTTTGACTACAATTCTAAATAAAAGCATCCTTGATCTGCTGTGACGTCGACCGCAAGCTACCAAGCTCTGACCAAGACCCATGGGCAATGCTCCAAGATGCCAAGCATCAGCATAGAGCTATGCATACATACATGCACCCAACACTCAATATTTTGCTAGGACATTGCCACGACATCGCCAGCACTTTCGATTAAAACAACTTTATGAAGGTGAACTAATTCAGCTTTTAAGAGACTTGGAATGTATATACCATATATATCTTTGAGAGAAATTTTCTGTGGAAATATTTTTATTGATTTGGCTCCTACTCAAAACACAGAAGCATGTTTTACTTGTATGGTGTATACATATTGTATATGTGATAATGCAGTTATTTACTTCATCGTTTTTGTTTTTGTTTTTTTGTTTTGTTGGTAATTCATTCAATTTTTTTTTTAATAAACATTTTAGCCCTCCATAGGCTATTTTATTGAGTCAAACAAACATTTTTACAATTCAATGAAATTAAGTCTTTCCTTAACTCTCCTTGTTGTTCATACAAACAAATGTTGAAGTGACTGCCATTTAGTAAAAAATAATTTGTATACATACCAGATATATAATGAATACCGGTATATCTCTCGTACTCGTAATATTGAATAATTTTCTTCTTCAAAGAACTAAAATTTTGAATGTTGTTATTAAGCTTTTGTACAAATAGTTGATTTACAGTTTACTTCATCATGGCTCTGCACATTGACGCACAGTATATAATCATCAAAAGATAGTTTCTAGAAGCTGCTGAAAGTAATTATCAGTACTTTTATTTCAAGCTAGGTTTGAGGTCCAGATTTTGTATAAGTTTCATGCCAAGAAATAATTAAATCGCCAACAAATTATTACAATTGATGAAAGCTCTTTATTGTGAAAAAACCTGTTGTTTCACAATGGTTTGTAGTTTACATTATTCCAAAATTCTGTTATGGAAAGGGTGATTAAGGGAAAGTGTAACAGTGAATAGAAAATATAAACAGGAATCTATACAAGACGCAAACAATATGACTTACTCTCGGAGTAGCATGTCACGTTTCGCATTCCTGAGTTTACTCTTGTTGAGTTTATCCAGCATGTACTCTCTCTCAAAGTTCTTGAAGGTGACGTCGTCTCGCTTGTAGAGCGCTACCTCTCTCCTCCATAAATGCTCAAGATACGCTCTGTAAATGATACAAAAGAAGCATTCCTTTCAACACACACACAAAACTATTATTATTTGATAATTAATGCAGATATGACTTCCAAGTACATTGAATAATTTCATTCAAGATTCAAGATAATTTATTGTCTGATTAAAAAAAACAGAAATTCGTCCTCCACTGGCAAGTGACATACATATACAAGCAACATAAACAATATATACATTCGAGGATGCAAAGAAAATACAACAATGATAATAACAAAAAATAGTAATAACAAAACTGACATGTAAAGTTAAAAACTAGCATTAAAAATTGAACCGGATTCATTATAATAAAAACAATATTGGCTGCTTGTAGAGTAATAATATCTACCACAAATGGTGCTCATGGCATTTCAATATTACCACAGCTCTAGCTAGGCCACTCATTTTGGCGCTTGCATTATTCAAGGACTCCCTTCCCACCTGCAGGTTCCCATTCAACACCTGGGTGGAGAGTGACAAATGTTAATTAATGTCTTGTTGAAGAAAATTAGTGAGGGTCAAACCCACGACCTTTTCATCTCTAGTCAAGCATTTTAAAGGCCGTCTGTACTAGTGTGGACAGAAGGGATAAGACCACCCAGCAAGGTCACTGACAGGTGGCTATCTCATCAACTCAGCTCTCACTTATCATAAGAAAAAGAGGATCATGGGGGACCAACAGGCACAATTAGGCATTGTTTTCTATATAGAGGGAGCAAGTAGCTACAAGTAGTACAATTGGGCCTTAAAACATGCAAATATTAAACCTGATAAGTGGCATCCCTGAAGAAGATTAAAAAAAAGTTGACAAACCTTTCTGATTCAAACGCTTCCCTGCCCATCTTCTCCTGCCTGGCCTTCTCTGCCTGACCAAGTCGCTTCTTGGCGTCCTTCGCTGAAGACTTGTTGAAGAGCTTCTGGATCTGAACAGAACTTTTGGCTTCTTGATGCTTCTGGTATGACTCATACTCGGCCTCCTACAGAAATAAAAAGAAGACCATACCGGGTTATATCTATCTGTGCTCTAGACTACTCTAGTAGGGTTGTGGCCATAGATAATGAGTGAAAAAAAACTGGCTAGACAAGGGTAAAAGCACTATGAAATTTGTGGAGACTACACTTGTTGTATGTTATGTTCCTTGATTACAAGTAGAGGGTACTATTTAATAATATGTTCTATGTAATCCAAGTGCGTTGAAGGGTAAGAAAATAATTTAAAAAACACACCCATTTTAAACATCTATCCAACAAACAAAAAGTTATTGAAAACAAAATCTTTCTTTCTGTGTTTCATAGACAAACTATGTAAAATTCTACTCTAAACATTCCAATTTGCCTAGTACAATGAATTTATGATAAATGTACATACAAGCGTTTATCATCACAAATATACATGACTTTCCTATTCCAAATATTAATATTTGAGGACATTGTACATCCTGCATATGAAAGTGAGCTTCGTAATACCGCAACACTTACAGGGTTTGAATGTCCAAATGCAGGGACCGGTCTACCTTGCCACTGAGATCCTTTCTGTTTGCTTCTAGGAGACACAGGTCTGGTAAACCTGGGAGATGTAGGCCTGGGAATAGAAGAAAAAAATGCATCGGTCTGAATTTATTTTTGTTGTTATCATTTCACATAGCTAACATTTTCCTATTTTGGAGGAATGATTCCTATATATATATACAAATATTATAAGGATACAACTCTAGAATACTAGCCTAATGCATAGGGAAAAAATCACATTAAATGACAAAATAATGATAAATTCTCAAATTTTGATGAAAAGAAAAAAATATTTCCAAGTAGTTAAATTCTGTTTTTTTTGTGAGATGAAAATATGTCATAAAAAATGAATGTATGTGTATGCAAATTATGAGGTGAGGAAAAGATTCATGTACAGCAAGCACAAAATGGAACTTTTGTCATTTTTCAACCTCCCACCCTTTTCTACAGTAAACTAATGAAAGAGAACAAAACAATCCGAACATCATTTGTACCTCATTCAAGGTTTGATTTGGAAATTAAAGATGCCAGCAAATATATATTCCATGTTACCTTGGTGACGTAGGTCTCCTCGGTTGAGGTGATGCCGCTCTTCTTGCTGAGACCGGCCTTCGTCCTCTGGCAGACGATGGTCTAACACCACCACTACCACCACCACCACCGCCCCCACCACCCCCTTCAGGAGAGAGTCCCAACGAAGACGGGCCACCATCGGTCCGGATCCCTGGGGCAGAGCTTGGTCTCTTCACCAGGATCTGGGGTACTGCAGGCGGCTGGTCTGAGGTTGCATTCGTTGCCATGGTGATGGTGATAGAAGGTGATGTGGCACCGGATGAGAGGCCATCCTGCTGGCTGAAGTTGTCCGGTGTGCAGGGGGCCAGACTGGCTCCATCATCATCGATGATACCCAGATCATCATCATATGTATCAGTGATGAAAGATACCTGATCAAATATGAATGGAATTGGTATTATATTACTGCTTTACTCAAGTTTTAGGACTGCTCTCATTGGCCCGAATTCACAAAGGAGGTTTAACTTAACCCATGGCTTAAACCATCATTTATATAACCCATGGTTTCAAAATTAGCGTACCTTGCCTTGCATGCATATTATATTGGACCTCTGACGGTGTCACGCTTATTTGGGCTGATTTTAAACCATGGGTTATGTAAATGAAGATTTATATCATGGGTTAAGTTTAAACCTCTGTTGTGAATTCGGCCCATTAAGTTTAATGCACTAAAGAGTCTGTAGACATGACATAACAAAAACCTCACATAAGTTGTACTACTAGATAATCTTACTGGCATTTCAATGAAAATCTGATAAGACGTAGTTGGGCTAAAAAGGTAAGATATCTCTGAAACATTAATGAAGAAATGTTTCATCCAAAAATATTCAATTAAACAATATAACATACCTCAATAATAAAGTAACACTTGCTGCTTCTTTTCACGACTTTTAAAGCCCATCTATACTAGTTTACTGGAGGGATTAGACCACCCTGCAAAGTCACTGGACAGGTGGTTATCTCATCAAATCAGCTCTCAATTAACATTATAAAAAGAGGATCATGGGGGACCAATGGTTTGTTTGCTATATAGAGGGTGCAAGTAACTATAAGTAGTACAGTGGGGCTTTAATACATTTGCAATAGATTCTTTTATTCAAATACCTCTTCATCCTCGGCAGTGATGCTGATTTGACTCTCTGATGACAGCCCCACCGGAGTACTACCCCTCTCTCCATCCTCTCCTGCTACTCCGACATCCTCTGCCTTGACTTTGTCTGATGGGGGTGGTTCTCGTTGTCGAGCCGAGGTGACCCTTGACCTCGCAGACTTTGGTCTCAGCGACTGCGATGCTGCAGAGAGGGTCGGACTGGGACTCCTAGAACCATGACCTAGAATACAAACATTCAAAGTTGCAGTCACTAGGAATGACATTTTGGTAGTTTTTAAAGTGAACATTTCTGTTTAAATAACAATTTTTTCTTTTTCAATTCAAATTATTTATGTATTAAATGAAAAGTTTTAATATGTTGGGAGCTGTTTAATTACGTCTTGTCTTCTTGATTCATACCAAATACTTAATCCGACTAGTACACAAAGATTATCAGTGAGAGATGTATACCGACACATACAGGAGAAGAAGACGCTGTAGCACAATTGGATGTAACCAAACATCTTCCTAATTGGAAAGTATACCGGTAATAGGGCCAGGGGTTACGTCAAACATACATTCTCCCTAAATAGTTTACAAAAATTAATTTCAATTAGTTTAAACTATGAAGAGTATTACTGCTAAGTAGCGATTGCACGTAAACGAAAATCAATTGCAACAAACCTTGTTGTGATGTCCTCAAGCTTGGAGATAGGCGTCCATTGAGGGATCTAGGAGACGAGGTCCTAATGGATGGAGACGGAGACCTAATGGATGGTGATGGGGACCTAATGGACGGAGAGGGGGTCCTAGAGTACCTCGGACAGGGACTGGTGGCAGGAGACACCCTTGGTGACCTGGGCGTGGCTGACCTGGGCGTGGTTGGCCTGCTAGAGGGTGTGAGGGGTTTGCTACTCACAGCTGGCATCATCAGCAGGTACTCTGGTGTACTGGTGGCAGCGGTGGGATGCTTGCCTTTCAACTTGTTTTTCTCATCTTCAGACAACTTCATGTATGCTGATGGGTAGTACAGAAATTCATATCAGAACAAAGTTGTTATCAATCTACCCATTTACTGTACAGGCCATGTAAAATATTAGTAAGCTATTCCATTAAACTAAAATATAAAAAGACAAGATCAAGTCAAAGACTGAAGACTGGGATGTTTGCCTTTCAACTTGTTTTTCTCATCTTCAGACAACTTCAAGTATGCTGATGGGAAGTACAGAAATTCATATTAGAACAAAGTTGTTATGAATATACCCATTTACTGTACAGGCCATGTAAAATAGTAGTAAACTATTCCATAAAACTAAAATCTAAGAAGACAACATCAAGTGAAAGACTGAAGACTGCCTTTTTAGAGAAATGTTCTTTGGCGCACGCAATTTCCATACAGGACAGACATTTTGGATAGTATTGACAACCTTTTAATCCACATTCCCAAAGTTTAAAGTCGGTGCCCTCTCCTTGGGGAACAAATAGTCACATGCACGGTGGAAGGAGGATAGGGTACCTACTCCCTATACTTCTTCACACCAGGAATGTGTATCCATGTTCACTCATTTAAAGTAATCACCAAAAGAAAATTCACAACTGATAATTATGGACAAATTATATATGGATGGAAAGATTTTCTCTTGAAAAATAGGAATAATATCAGATATCATGGAAAGGCGTAAAATGCAATTTTGTGGCTAGCCGTTTCTTGCATGTGACGTCACTAATCTTGACGCTCTACGGAGGACCGCTGAAGGCAGAAAATCTGGATCTCAAAGTAACGTTTTTTGAGAGATGATTACTGTGGGCCCCAAACATATTTTGAAGAGGGAAGTTATTATGTTTGATCAGTAAGGCTTCCCCTCCGCAATGATATAAATTGTGCATCAATTCAAAAGACTTTTGATTCTTTGGGTGACTACTTTAACAAAGAAAGATGAGATGTGCATTTGGCTGCATATTCAGAAATTTGTGCATACATGTTCTTGTTTATTTGTAAACATCGGTGTATACAGCAGATGGAGATACACATGCTCAAGTTTCTAAAATTCAAACAGATTAAGACATACAATTGTATAAGTAAATAACAAAAGCACATTATCAATACGAGCATGTAACATGAATATGAGTGCAGTGCAAGTGGATAATTACCAATGGGTCTATTCTTAGGTGAGCTGTTGGAAGCTGCACTAGGACTTCTTTCGTGCATATGAACATCCAAATCAAGGGATATGACTTTGGCCTCAGCCACGCCTCCTGGAAGAACATCTCTAGGTGGATGATGCTGGTCATGGTTACCATGGGGATGAGGATGTTGGTTTTGGTGGTGATGGTGGGATGTTTTCTCATGCTTTTCCACAGGGACAAAGGAATGGGCGTGGCTGGGTACAGCACGTATGGAGGAGGAGGAGGAGGAGGATGAGGAGGGTCTAGCTACTACAGCTTGAGCTTTGAAAGTATGCTGGGCTGAGGAAGGTGCAGCTAAAGAGATGGATGGAAGGATGGATTGACAGATGAATAATGAGAGGAGGAATGACAACTTTGCACAGACACTTTCAGCATCTAATTGAAATGCACTGACTAAACTACACATGCTTTATCATAGTTTTGATGAAGGATTCTTCTGGTGACTTAGAAAGGACCATCAGAGGCAGATGTCTATGTTTTGATGACACTCATGACCTAGCAAAGAGTCAAAGGCTCATTATACAAAGATGATCTGAAGAATTTCTTACCTTACATCTCTATCTGACATAGCTCAAAGAGAATAAATTCACATTAAACCTCCATAATATATCTCCATACTATTCTATGCCTTGGACATCGATCCAACAATCACACATCTAAATTTATTACCATCTGGAGAACTACCCCCTGGATCATTAGCTGTTATCTCTATGATATTGGGCAAGTCAAAAGCCCCTAGCCATTATACACCGACTCATTTGACATCTCAATAATAATTATAATAATATATTACATTTTTAAAGCGCCTTTTCGTTAGAAGATACAAAGCGCAAGATGGGTAATTTTCAATGTAAAAACTTGTCCAGTTAATCATCGTTGTATAATCATATGAAAAGTGACCATCAAAGAGTAATTGCCCTGATGGCAATTATCCTAGATGAGTAATTGTCCTAGAATTCCAATCTGTGATAATTGATGTGATTTTCTTATGTACCTTTTATATACCACAGCATTTCAAACAGTTTAACAGTCACTGCAGAGAAATATTTCAACAGGTAGAAAATTAAATCACAGCAAAATATAATTCAAGGCCACCAATGAATATTAAAAGTTCATTACCCATCAAATAACCTAAAAATATAAATCCAACGAGAGGCCCTTCCTTCCCCAAGTAGAAGAGAAAAAATTAACTGCCAATAATCCAAATTAATCATCCCATTATCCAAATGAATAAGTTGTGAAATATCAATTTTCAAAGAAAAAACAAAGTCATGCTTAAAGAAGAATATGAAAGACTGAATGATGCTCACAAACGAACAAATTTACATGCAAATTAAAAATTGATTAAACAATTCAAAATGAAGATGACCCAAGATCTGTAGAGAGGACAACTCCAATCAATAGAAATTTACACAGCCATGCAACTAAAAGTCAGTGATGTCAATTGTATTTGCAAATGAAGAACAGCAAGTATTTCATGCAGAAATCAAACAAAAACATACAATCTAGGTATACTAACACTACAGGAGGTTGGGATGAAAACTATAATAATTTCTGTTTTCTACAAAAAGAAAATATAAATTAAAAAGAAAAAAGCTTGTCACACAGCAATCAAATTTTGGAGAAAAAAAAATCATGCAATATTTATTACGATTAAACATAACATGTGAAATTGTGAAAATGTGTCTAGTGTTTGGCCATCTTAGAGATATCTCATGCTTAATACCTGAAAGTTGCTGATATTAATCGACTTAATTAAGTATAATTAAGATTTAATGTTGAATAATATGCATTTGAACCTGCATACATGGACTGCTTTATCTATTTATGGGCAAAACAGAGGAAATTTCATAAAAATTATAATAAATAAGGAAAAACAGCATCCTACAGTTTTGTAAATAAAAAAATGTTGATGAAAAATGTAAAGGTAAATTAAATTTATGCTGGAAATTTAATAACAATAAGGTAGAATAATGTCTTTTCAAATACTTGCTTTCATCACTGCAGCTACAATGACAGATCACAACTTACGATATATCATTTCCTTTCATGCAGTGTATTCACTGCCCTTTAATGACAAAATATTAGTATTTACTACATTTCAATGACAAAGTTTCAATTTCCAACAAACCATCATCGATTCTGGAATAAACTTCAAACATATCATTAATGTAAGTAATATTGATCAGATTGCCTTTAGAAGGCATAAAATGATGAAAAAAATGGTGCAAGATTATACTTCTGAAATTTTAATGCATAATGTTAAAAGTTACACAATGCAGCAACTTAAAATATTGTTATGGGGGGTTATCAAAAAATTGCTGCAATTTTCTTCAAATTATTATCATTTTTAAACTTTTTTAATTTTTTTTTTATCCCACTTCAGATTCTTTTCATACTTCTGTCCTTGCTATTTTGAACCCATGGTCTTAATGACACCTTAGCTACAAAAAAAAAGTATTTTGCAAATGCTACACTGTAGACACTATAATTAATGCAGACATAATTTGTTGTTATCCCTTATAGATAAATATATAGCTGAAATAAAAACAATGGACGGATGGAGAATTAACCACTAAATAGCAAAATATATTTTTGTGTATAGGTTGTACCATGCACAGAATCGCAAAAATGCTCAGATATTCATAATCTAAATTTGTAATATCCTATATTAAAAACAAAATGGCTTACAGGTAACTATTCCCCCTCCCCAATATTCCCTAGACTTTAAAAATAGGTGCATGTTCATGCCTTGTTTTTTAAATTGGAAGACCCCTTAGAAATCACTTTACTTTGAACATATAAAATGCACCTAATTATACTTAAAAAATTGCAGTAATTTCTTAATGAGGACGGATCTCTATGAGGGAATACCTATGAAAACATAATTCAAACACATTAATATACAGGCATGTACATTTCTATCCTAATGCACAGTTCAGGATTATTACTAAGAAAGGACATAATACATTAATTCTGATAGTTATTTAAGAACCGAGCTGTAGACCACACTTTAGTACTAAATACATTAAGTAGTTCTTTAAAGTCACATTAATGAAATAAAAATTCTGATTGTCTAAAGAAAACTAGTACGAAATATATTTGTAACCATATACTGCATGAAGAATTAGAAATTAGTACAAAATTCAATATAGAGACTACACAAATGGAGTATAGACATCTATCCCTCAATAAGCTGGGAGTATTTTATTACTATTAAAACAAATGATTTAGCTTTTTAAATGGCTACTATTAAAGTTCATGTTGCTTTTAAAAAGCAAGATGTATGTAATGAATATCCAATATTCATATAATAACTTATATGGTTTTTTCAAATATTATATTTTACACCCAAAGTCTCTTTTTTTAAATCCTGTCGTATCATTATTCCTACGTGTATTTATAAGCACACATTGTGACAATATTAATGAAGTTAATCCTTGAATTAAATTTTGACCTTTGACTTCCATGGTATAATGACATTCATCATGAATACCCTCAGTAGTTGAATAAATATAGATGCATAGATTTGATCAAATTTGGTTTACAAACACAATGGCTATTCACTTATTTGTTGTTGTTGAGTAATTAATTGCACGGATATAAACATTCTCCTATAAAGATTAAAGACAAAGATTTTCTTCTTTTTATTTACAATCTCCACTAGAACTACAATTATGTACACCTATAAATATATATCAGATAAATGATAACATTACATATAATACATAAATGAATATATACATATACACTAAATAGCCACAAGCATGCCACAAATCATCACCATGACACTTACAATGATATACCAATGAATGAGAACTTACAGTGTACAAGGTTGGAAATTATGAAATAAGTATGGTTGAGTATAAAGGGTTACATATATGTAAATGTACAAAACCAATGATGGAAGCAAAATATTCATGACTAGACATATAAAAATGCTTATTCTTGTAAGTGACCCATTCATTATGCTTTTTGTTTGTAGTTGGATGTAAATGACTTAGAAATGGAAAGAGTCTGTCAACAGATTTTTCAAAATTGTATTGAAATATAAAAAATGGTACAGATGAGGTTTTAGCCCAAATGGAGGTATATGACAATAATTGACATGTATTAGGATTACTAGATGCATATAGAAATGACATGGTTGAATGTGGATTAAGATTGGTATGGGCTTATTTCATATGGAATGGATGGGGAACCTTCATGATTTGTGTGAAGTAATGCTTTCTTCCTCTACATTGGTAGAAGTATTATCTGAACCATCTACTTTAGTTTCATCTTTATTAGTACAATCCTGCTCTACATGAGTATCAATGGTACCTTGTTCAGCGTCCGATTCCTCCTGCTTTGCCCCAGTCTCGTCTGATCCAGTTGGATCCGCTTCAACTTCATCCAGTTTGGACTCTGCAACTAGCTGCTCAGAACTGGTTTGATCAGGTTCTCCCTGGACAATAGTTTCTCTTGGCATATTGTCAGAGCTAGTAGCCTCTGGTTCGTCAGCAGCCTGACTGATTCCTCTGGAAGAGCACGGTGTGTCTGCAATAGAGCTATTGCCTCCAACTGATCTAGGTGTGTTCTCTGATGAATCTTCAGCCTCTTTTGTTGCCATGTCTGGCATGCCTCTCTGTGAGTCGTTATCAGCCTGTGGTATCTCCATATCTTGCGCAAGCTCGCCAATGCCATTCCCTACACTCAAATCTAACCTGCTCTGAGCCCTGCCATCCCCACTGTCCATTGTCCTTGGCGTGTCGGCGGGGCTGAGGGTCTGATCCGTGAGGTCAGCGAGGTCAATGTCTGACATCCCTCCGAAGCTTCTCTCGCTAGGGGCCATCATGGTGGAGGAGGCGTTGTCCCCTCCCTGGTTGGAGGAGGGAGGTCCATCAGCCGTCTCCCCTGCTGAGCTATCACCCATGAACCAGCCCTGGATTGCACAGGGATGGGAGGAGTCTTTGGACGGACTGTGCAGGGAGTCTTTAGGTACCAGGCTCTCTGTACTCTGATTGGGGGCCAAGCTCCTACAATGTCACATGATAAATACAAACCACACATTTTAATAGAGCTATAATATCATACAAATCACAGCATGGAATCTACAACTCATCCATATGGGTTATTAGGGTTTTTTTATAACTATAAAACTGCATTAAGGGGCATTAATGATAAAATGGGATGCATGCGAAAAGTAAGTTTTGTAATGAATCACATAATTCAAAGCAAATGCTTTCCACCTATTCAATTCCTAATATATTGAATTTGAACATGCACAGGATCTTAATGAGCAAAAGTTTCCAAACAACATACTCAAGTCTAAAGCTGCACATTGCAATTCTGATAGGCACAAATTCATATTCTAAGTACTAACACATCTCAAGATTATGTTACTTCTGAAGTTGACAGAAAGATAAATATCATGTATGAGGACTTACCCATCAGTAGCATTCCTCACTGTGAAAAGAACAAAAAATAAAAAGAAACAGAACGATTTATAAGGTGATTACAATTGAAAAATAGCAATGATGAAAGTGCAATTTATCACCACATTGACAATTCATAGGAGAGCATAGCTTTTTAAAACAAATGAAATGGAATCATATTGAACAAAGCGAGTAGTTTCAAACCTCATTTGCAAAGGGACTCATTGAACACTAATTTAATGCCTTCCTGGGCCCCGTCTTATCAAGAGTTGCGATTGATCCAAATCAATCGCAAGTTTGCAGCCTCCTATCTCTTATTAACATAGTTGCGATTGATATCAATCGCAAATAAGTTGCGATTAATATCAACTCTTTATAAGACAGGGTCCTGGGCACTGCATTAATAATGTCCTCATTTTTCAAACTTACCTTTGATGGCTGCAGGTGTGCTGATTGACATGTACTGCATGTTAGGTGGGACACTACCTGCTACTAGCTCCTGGAATAAGACACAAACACAAATTATCTTCTTTAAAAAAAGATCTCTATTTGATAGGAAAGGCCAATGCTAAATATCATTCAATATGAATACATGTTTATCACTATCTAATATATAACTTATAAAGGCAATGTTTATGCAAGAATTCCTCCTTCTTTTCTCCATTTTCTTTATCTTCTCTCTATTTTTAAAATCTTGATTTTATGTAAATTATGTATCAAAGTTATTGTTATTTTGTATATTTTGTGAGGATCATTTTTTAGAAAGCCATTTATGTGCTTTTTATGACCCTCCCACTTATGATATTTTATCATACATGTTTATATTTTAAAGTAATATTGTGTTTATCTTTAAGTGGAAATAAAGAAATGAAATGAAAATGAAATGAATGTGAAACATTATAGAGAAGAAAGATTACCAGTGGAAGGTAACTCAAGAGATACTGCATTCTCTACAGACCTTGGGCAATTCTGTGGAAGTCAATTATTTTAAAGTGTTCTAAACACAAAAGGAATGATCCCAGAGGAAATCTAAACCCTTACAAGCTAGCCCTCAATCCATTATATTTGCATACTAACCTCTTCCCAAGGATAGGCCCCTGTGTGGTGATGTCCCATCCTTGAACTAAAACAAACAAAAACAAAAGCAAACTCAAAATATTGACTTAAAGTCCACAATCTAAGGGTATAAAGGTAACAAAACACAAAAGTTACATGTTTTTTAACCTCCTTGTCGTTCATCTGTTAAATAATAACCTGGATTTATATCGCCCTTACAAAATAATGTCTATTCACGATTTTTCAGATATTATTACCCTGGTCACCGGATTCATTCACGCACAATGTACACCATCTCCACTACCTGGGGAGTATTCCTACCATATTCCAAACCTATACCCCTTGTAGCAATCCTAGATCTGATCTGAACGTAGACAAAAAAGCTACACGCATCCGGCCGGCAGTACGTGTAAAGCGGTAGTCAATGAATTCCGACTGCTACATGTACAGGAGATCTCAAGGGTGTGTTTGCAGATTAATTACCTCATCCTGCGTTGATCACTTCCCAGGGTCTTGATGGACATCATACTGGCAACGGTGGCTGGGTGCATCGTCTTCATACGGTGGCTGGCTGCTTGGGGTAGACGGATATTATCCTCACATACCTACATCGGTAAATGATAAAACCAGATCATAGCAAGATATTTATTATCATATAAAGGGGTTTATTAGCAAACAACTGAACATACATAAATTGTTTGACATGGATGTAAAATAATATCTGCCACTTGATCAAATATTCATGACAAGAGTCTAACATTATTTCCATGCTTTATTCATTCTGCCATCTTTTATTTCTTATATTGTGACATTATAGTAACAACTTAAATGTGACATCCTTTGACACTTCACTGACCTCGAATGACAATTATACTTCTTAGGCATTCCTTGATTATTACCACTTGGATGCACTTTTTCATTCTTCTAACTTTATACTAATCATTGGCACTTAAAAATATTTATTTGGAAAGTTATGCTTGCTTCCTTGATAGACTCATTAGCCATTGTACTGACCTTGCATGGATGCCAATTGTTCTTGTTCTTGTTCCTGTTCTTAGTTGATGCTTCCGAAGCAGTTTTAGGTCTGTTTCCTCCCCTGGTTGACCCTGCCGTTCTCAATGACGTCCTCTGAGCAGGGGCACTCTGGATTCGACTGTAGAAAGATATTGAAGGTTGATGATTGTTTTACCTGATTGCTAACAAGCACTTATATGCTTGTTGGTATTAGCAACCAGGGGACCAACAGCTGTAAGTTCTCTCCGAAGGACTAATTGGTAAGCTCAGTACTTTTAACCCCTTTGGGATGGCATTAAAGCTCCAAACAATCACAGCACATAATTTCATCCTTTTTTCCCTCTCCTTCATACAATTTTTCTCCTGCATTTAGTCCATTGCATATTCCATCTTGAAAAAGATTTTATCAAATACTTAATTGGGCAGTAATAGGAAGTGGATGCAAAGAAGACACATAAATAAATTGTCTAACAAGAATTTGGATAACAATTTGTCAAATCTGGATATCTTCAAGAAGTTAAGGTTAAAGGTAGAGACCAGTATTGGAAACGCCCCAATTTCAAAAAATGAAATGGAAGCTCTTATTACCAATCATGTGAAAGAATATGTTTTGACTAATACATGATGATAAAAATTTTGCCGGGAAACCGCCTACTAATTGATATATTTGGTAAAAACTAGCTATTATTATTATTATTATTCTGTGAGAGGTAAACGCATGTGTCACGCACGTGTGCGTATAGTCCCATATACATCTTTCTGTGTACAGTGCTTGTAACTTTACGAAGACTGGGCCATATTTCTTATCATTTTGATGATTCCACAACCTTGCAGTACACACCAATACTTATATGCTTGATGATCAACCTTTTCTGATCGATTCCACAACGTTTCTCTCACAATGCAATCGCATGACCATAACTGATCTTTACCTTTAATAAGTAGCATTTTTGTATTAAGTGTTATACTACAGGAATGTATAAATTACAAGTTATATAATAGAAAAACCTTAATGTAGTTGCATTTGATAAAGACACTCTGCTTAGTAATTTTATGTGCAACATCATTGATAAACATCAAAATTGTACTATTTCCCCCTAAAAAAGAGCCTTAAAATTCACTATAGTACAAAAACTCATTTAATTTAGTTGGTTTATAAACGGTAGGCATACAAAATAAAATATTATTACATTGGTTCCCACTGGGAACTGAAAGGGTCGCAATTACCAGAACAATCGTTCATAATGGCTACATGCAAGAAATGTTGTACACACAAAGAAGGTTAATATATATACATGTTTTTGTTAACAACTAATGTTAGGTGAGTGAGCAAATATTGATGTGCATGTATGTTTTACCTGTGTATTTTTCGATAGGTCATATTACCATACCCATCATCACGCCACCTGTGAACAATAACAATACAGAGAGGACACACAGGATAAGAGCATTGCATGCAATGGGGTTGAAAACAGGCAATTATTAAAGGTACCGGTAATACAAAGTTTTGGTATGGGGTCATGAATTTGGTTAAAATGAACACATTGGAAGCATAATGCGATCCTACAATATCAGTGCTCGTTGTCGCGGTTGAAATCGAGTCTAAAGATATGAAATTGTATTTATACACTCTTTATGTTATATAGCTCCCTCTCAAGGTCAAGATATTAATTTAGCTATAAAACATTGTTTCTTGACTAAAATTGACAGATAAGCAATTCCCATTTGGAAATTATATATAACGACTACTGAGATTTTCATGGTTGCAGCTACCATTGTACGGCCGTAGGCGCTATTTGAAATTTATCCAAATTTAACGGGAGCACCGGTAAATTTTAATATTCAATTTTTCTTAAAAGCAGAAGTGTTTTCTGGGCTAAATTTTCTAGTGCTTATAATACATCCACAGGAGCATCCAAATATATAAAAATAGTAAAGAATCATTATCCACCCAATTTTCAACATTTCCCAAAACCTTGTATTACCTTTAAAGCACATGCAAATGTATATATCATGGACATACATGGAAAACAAATTCTATACGACACAACTTAAGACTGTAAAACTGGAAATGGTCGCAAAATGACACCTTCACAAATTGTAAAGGAGAGTGATTTTCTGTCCAAGAAACTTTTGTAAACTGCAAAAAAAAGTTAGTGTTGGGTCAGTTTTTATTTAGTTATTTTGCGAAGCATAACATTTCCTCGCGAAAGTTTTTGGTTTAACAGTATTTATGCTATATGATGCTGAAGTGATATTTTTATACAATGGTTTATTTCAACAAGCAGCTTCATAATATTGGAATTTTTCATAAGTGCTATATAGAATTTCATTAATTATTTGTATGCATATATGCTGAACATATAATTGCTTGTAGCAAATTTTTATGCAGGAGTGCACATGAAAACATTGAATACAATTAGGCAAGCACAAAGAAAATGGTGGAAGTACAAATGATACATGAACTAGAACAACCAAAACAAATTTTAAAAAAGAATGAGCACTGAGTCCTACAAATATGAAACATTCATAAATAAACACAATCAACATTTGGGCATCGCTTAATGAATCTTCATGAGTACAACTTCGTCAACATCCCCTTGAAATTCTTTTTTTTTTTTTTTTTACACACGTTTCAATAGGATGATGGTGTACTTGTTCTTATGACAGTATTGTGAAATGATGCCCGGGCCTGTTTCTCGAAACTGTTCATGGACATCCCATTGAAACGTGTGGTAATTCTATAACACACGTTTCAATAGGATGCCCAAGAAGTTAGACTTGAGAAACGGCGCCCAGACATCTAATTCATGGGACTTAAAGAATAGACCAAACTTTTTCTTAGAAAGTCACCAGGGATACTGAATCGTTTTGCTTTTGAGCACTCACTTGTATCTAGCTGCCTCGGGGAGCATGCTTCCTTGATGCCTAGAGATAGAATGAGGGACGGTGGTAGAGAGTGGTGCTTGACCTTGTCTTCTGAAATGGACATTGTAGTCTGATTCCTCTGGTAGGGCAAATATAGGTTCACCTCTCCGGTTCCTGGGCGTGTACTCAGGGGTGGAATCTCTGCATGTTGGAAAAAAAAAGAACAGAATAGATGTTAATGATGACCAAAATTAAAATTTAAAAAAAATGGAATGAAACTTGTTAAGATGTATGGTCTAATATCTTTACTTGCCCATAATACACATGAAAATTGACAAATTTTTAATAGGTGTTCATCTTTTACCTCAAAAGGGTGTTACCTGGCAACTATGGCCATCATGAAAAAAAAACTCAAATAGTTTAATATTGATACTAAAGATATAAGCAAGGTCATAAAGAGTACTTGAATATTTTTGAGATACTTTATATATAACATCAATATATATAGTAAACTTAATCTACTTCTTAAGAGCTCAGCCATTTTAACCTAGTTATTGAGGTAAAGGGTATGCTGTTACATGCCCCCCCCCCACCTAGGATGTGAGATAGGTGCCATGGAGGGCCTCTTTGGGGTAAACTATGAGGAGAGTTATTGAATTATGAAGAACGGAGAATGCTGGAGTATCTTACTTACCCAGAGCTGTTTGGAGGGGGTGACCTGCCCCCATAGCTTTTGGCGACTGAAACACTAATGGGGTTTGTGCTGGGTGCGGTGGCAGGTCTCTTAGGAGTAACCTTGGAGGACGGTCTGCGGAAGCCTGCAGGCATCTCAGGCCCATTCTATAATACGAATACAAATAGCAGAAGGAACAGGATGAAATTTAAGACCATTGCTTAAAGTGACTCATAATATTGTTGAAGGTTGATGTAAAAACTGTGTAATTTTTGTATGAAATGTAACTTATTATATTCCTTTTACTGTACTAACCCTCTAACATGCTAAAAATCCTGAAAAAATTCTCAAACTACAAAGATATTTATGGTTTTCTTTGAAGGCATCACTGTGCGACACTCTCTACTATTAAATTCTCCCAACCATTTTTGAATTTTCCCAACCGTTTTTCCATGAAAATAAAACACAAGACAGGCTTTTAAAAAACTTTAAACACTTAAACGTCTGGAATGGTATATAGAACCAATTCATTGCTTTGTGACAATTTACAATTCCCTAACATGTAATTAAATTGTAATAATATAGTTGGGAGAATTAAGGAATCGATCAGATCAGTTTTTCACAATTGTAATCATAATGAATAATGGTCTGTTTTCACTCAAACTTTCAGATTATATTTAATTGTACATCTAGCATTGAACTCACTACCTTAGCACCATTTTCTCTCATCTGAACAATATGTTACAAAGTCCCTTTAACTTGTGTATCTTTCTAATGACAGTATGTTCAGGGAAATAAATATTGAAGGACAGCTTTGAACAATGACATGCTTAAGTTTTACACATGCAAGAATGAACAGAAAGTGAAAATCAAAGATAAATAGGCAAATAAAACAATTCAAACTTTACAAATATACAAATAAAGTTGATTTACTAACCGGTTCCTTTTCAACCATCATATTATCTCCAACATGATCTGCCAACATGACGAGTGAGGCTGCTTGCACAGTTGATGGTCTCTCCATTCTTGCACTTAGTGATCTGAACATAAAAAGACAGACAGACAAACGTTCAAAAAGCTTTCATCACAACAACATCATAGTGTATTAAGCTATCAAAAAAGCTGAAAACAAGCCTAAAGATTAGATGCTGCTTATACGTATCGGCTTGCATGGCGATGTAGATATACAGTAAGCCCCTACCCATCCTCTCCAACCGGGCGCTATACTTCTCTTTAGAACTATAAGCTCAAGATAGATTACCTACAGTCCTTTTCAGGACTACACACACACACTCAAGGAAAAGATTACCGACAGTCCTTTTCAGGACTCCCCGATCCTCCCCCTCTCTCACATGGTGCAACCGTAAGCCTACTGTTTAAGTCTAAAGATGCAATGAAGTATTGTTCTATCACTACATAATGTTATGTACATCTCTTTGGCATGGGTACACATGGAGTGTATGTCTATGGTCACCATAATTTCAACTAGCAATTTTTTTGTTTTGTTACATACATATCAATTTCTGTTGATCAACTCGCTGCCCATATTAAACCATTTGTAATATGTGCCTTTCCTCTTTGTTCTTTTCATCTTTCTGAAGTTCTACATAAGCACTAGGATCTATATATAGCACTATTTATTGGAAGTTGAATTTCCACTTAAATTCCGAAAAAATAATTTACCTTTGTCTTGTATTGTTTGAAGTGCCCTCTGCTATAGTGACTTTCTTGGCCTCTTGAGATTTCTGTAGTCTTAGTGCAGACTGTGTTGAGATGGGATTCTGATCAACCTTAGGCTCGTGGCTCTCTGTCATCTTGTAGAAATGCTCAAGAGACTGGGACGCCAGACTATTGGCAGGGATATGTGGAGCTGCAAAGACAGTGGGTGGAAACAAGTTATACACTAAGATCTCTCTTTCGTCTTTATGAATATTATGGTTTGTAATTTAAAAAAAATTAAACACAGTTGGTTTAATAGCATTATATGTGACAGTCTCATCTTTCTGGCAGATGGCCACTTCTTAAAAATATATTTAGTATATAATTTCTTGACATCTTCCATTGTCATTACACATGTATTAAGCAAGATTTCAAATGTGATTCCATTTACATTATTGTCACTGGAGTATATACTAAAAGTTGAAGGGAATGCCATTGATTCAAATTTATATGAACTGAAATGCACAGAACTCAATTTAACAAAACTGAAATAAAATTCTGAACTGAATTGCATTTAACTACCTAGAACTGAATTGAATAAACAGAACTAAATTGGACAAAACTAAATGGAATGAAACTGATTTGCACAAAACGAAATAAAATTGACTTTACTCATGCATTTAATTGAAAGAACTTGAATCAAACTAAACAGATAATGAATCATGCTGACTTTAACTTACCATTATCTGTGACAAAGGACTCCTGTGCTGCATAATTTACTATGACCTCCTGAGTAAACCTCTCTGGTACCTCAGTAGTAACGACCCTCTCCCCTCCCTCATCAACGCCAGGGGTGCCATCCCCTGCAGCCACGCCCTGCTTATGCTGGTAATCCTGCCATTGCTGTAGGTGTGCTGCTTTCCTCTCAGCCTCTGATGGTCCAGGATGCTGCTTGGTAGCTGTATGGGAAGGATCAGAGAGGTTCAATGTGGAATTAATCTAAAATGACATTGAAAATTGTTTCTTTTATGCAATCCAAGTAAAACTTTTTGAGCAATACAGATATGAATGATATCTGCTCCACAATTCGTAAAGCAAGATTAAATACTGATAAGAATTTAATAGCCAGTCTTAATTGCAATCCAAACTTCTGTCTCATGTTGATGCTGTCAGAGTATGTGGATTTGAGTCATTTTCACAAATTTAGTCATATTTTGCTATTTCTAAATCCCAAAATTGTAAGAGGATACATAACCAACATCAAAAGGGACTTTCAATACAGTTTCATGACCTGAGTGAAAGATTACCTTGCACTACTCCTTGCTATGATTAAAAAGTCACTATTTGACATTTGACCCAAACTTAGGTTCTTACCTGCAGTTTTAGGCATGTCCACTTGTACCCTGAGCAGAGTCCCTTCACTAATCTCAGGTGGAAGAGCTCCATAGAATGACTCCTCTTCAAAGGTTGCTTGGGCTACCGGGTTCACAAGGCTCGTCAATGGGGGTTTCCCTATTAAAAAAAAGAAGGAATACCATGTAGGTATAATTGATTGGCTAGTTGTCTGCGATCCAAATGGGTCAAATAATCTTTTTGTCTCCTTATCATCTGATCTAATGACCATTTCGGCTGATACCGTAGTCATTTGGTCTAATTTCTGATAAGTCTACTACCCATTAGGTCTATTCTCATTTAGTCTAATTCCCAGTTTGTCCAATGCCCCTTTTGTCTACTATCCATATAGTCTAATAACCAATAATAGATGATAAGACCATATATGCTGGGTGTAGACCAAATGGGAATAGACTAATTGATATTTATAAATAAATCATAACCATTATACACATCTCTCAGCTAATATTGAGCATTTTCAATCACAAAAAAAATTCACTTAAGAGCTTTAATGTGCTTTCAAGTTTTCTTGCCCATTATGCAAAAAATAATGATAAAAAAAGTCAATTTATGTACATCAAATACTTTGTAACATCTTCCTTACTTTTAAAGAGACCAGGACCTTGTTCCTTCTCTCCTTCTGATGGGTTCTCTCCATCATCATCATCTGCCTTCTCACTATCTTCTTCTTCTTCGTTCTCATCCTTCTTCTCATCTCCATCTCGTCTCGCTTCCGGGACCGGTATTGAGATGTTGGATTCACTGGCCAGGCTCGCAGCTTGGGAATAATGGGCAGATTGGCCGCTCCCGAGGTCATCCTCCTCCTCCTCATCCTGGTTTGTCTGCTGAGATGCAATCTGGGCGTGGCGAATGACACTCATGGCCGAGGCTGGTCTGTCCAGCCCGGTTGCCGTGGGAGACAGGTGGTTGTTGAGGTAGGAATTGATGTAGTTCACAGCAAAGCTGGCATCATCATCACCGGACCTTGGACTGCGGAGTGAGTTACGAATCTGCAGGAAGAAAACAAAAAAGGATTTGGTGAATTCTTCTGAATTGAAGGATGAGAACAGTAAAGGTAACATGGTGTATCTAACTAATTGTCTGCTAAGAGCTAGAGAGACATTAACAATATGTAAATTACATGTATTAAGATGCCCTTCTGGCTCTCAGCAGATGAAATATCAGTTGATTATTGGAGCATGAAAATACCATAATCACAATAATAAGATATTTCTATACTGCAAATTGCCGGCAAAATTTTTATCATCATGCATTATTCAAAACATATTCTTTCACATGATTGGTAATAAGAGCTTCCATTTCATTTTTTTAAATTGGGGCGTTTCCAATACTGGTCTTTATACCTTTAAAACTTTGCATATGAAAATAATACATGTACATAATTACAAATCAATTATAGACAATACAGAATAGTAATGCCAAAGGAGTGTAATGGAATTCATTTAATGGAGCCAGCTTCGCAATAGATCCATCTTCACACCAAAAGAAATTATTTACACCTACATGTAATCTACTAATTGTACTATTCAAATATTCTGGGTAACTTCCATTTGCTAAACTTCATTATTCCTTTGGAATTGAAATCAATGCAATACCTTTGGTCTGTGCATGCCAGGAGGTGCTGTCGTTGGTCGACTGCTATCTATCCGTAGGTCATTGAGGTCATCTGACCCTTGACCCCTAGGACTGTTCTGCTGAGAGGGTGTCTGGAAGGCCACATGGTGATTCTTTCTCCTGCCCGGAGGGTCAGAGTAGTACTTGATTGCATCTGATGTGAATTTCAACTCAGGACGCTTGTACATCTGCTTGCCCGCCCCTTTGAAGTGCTGCAATGAAAAAGACGTTCTTTATCGTAACATAACCATGGATAGTTATTGAGACTTAATAATAATGTCAAAATTGTGGTAAGGACAAGGACTTCTACACATTTGTCTTGTTTAAACACTTAAAGTACTGTATGTATGCTTTGAAGAAATATCAAACATCTATGTGACCATATGACAAATGACCTTGAAAGTAGTATTCTTATAAATTTCATTTGCAAGGAAAAGGGTGGGGGGGGGGCAATTTTTTCAATATTTCTTGTATTCGTTTGTAAGCAGGTGCAAATGTTGTTGAATGTAGTAATTCATATTTCCTTCAAAAGATCTTAAAGGGCAATCCAACCACTATAATTAGAAAGGTAAAAAAATATGGTGAACAGAATGGCAAATGTTTTAAATAAATCAGATCGTTAATAAGAAATTATGACTGTTTGAAACATGAAATCACTAAGTCTATGGGAATCTCGAATGGGCAGTTTGGTCAGTGGACGTTTGTGTACAAAATATTATCAATTTCTGTTCCTAATTATGAAGTGCCTTTTCCCTTGGGGCACTACTCAAAATATATTTTGGATAGCATATCATTTTAAGTCCTCTAAAGAGAAAGACCCTCCTGAAACAAACATTTTTGTCATTTTTGTGTATGAACAAATGCGAAAGTTTTCTGCCACTACATCATAGAGACATTACAGATTCAGCCAATTTAGATCTCTACAGATAGTGATTACAACTTTCAAAAAGTTTTCTAAAAGGTTGGAGTTCCAACAAACAGAACTTTGTTATTCCTGGCTCATTTTTCCTGATTGAGGTGTCATATCGAAGGGCAGAAAGTGAACTTTCTAGAAATATGATTTTCTCTTTGAAATTCAGATACCGCCCTAAAAATGACATTTTGGTACCCTCTCTTCAAATTGTTTTTAATCACTTATGCATGAAATATTCATCATATGAGATCCATCAACTGAAAGAGGAGGATCTTTATTAATTATAACTGTGATTAAGTTATGATAAAACATCAATAATTCTTGGTTTCTTTTTTTTTTCTGGGACGCTCTGTATAATAACATGAAGTTCTTGTTCGCACGTTACACTCAATTGTATTCACATCATGTATATAGTTTGTCTTTCTGGATCTCTTTTGTTTGTACCCATGTTTGTTTTCCTTGGGTTATCTGCATTGTTATTTGTTTTTGACTCCCGGCTCCTTTAAGTAAACATACAACATTTATTCCCTACAATAGGCTAGACGCCACAAGTTCATTTGGCATGACCCTTAATTCACTAACTTTTTGATCATTCATTCAACATGTTATTTATAGAAATGCTTTTGTTCATTATATTTTTGCTTTTCCTGTAGGGAAATAAACAATTAAAACATACATCATGTCAAAAGTAGATTCATGCGAGATGTGCTGGAGTAAAGAAAATCACCAACAGATTGGCTGAGACTTTTGAGTGCGAGAAATTGCAGAGAGATGTTGAGAAGAATGATATGTCTTGTTATCTTGGGGATACAACCAGGCGCGGATCCAGGATTTCTTTGGGGAGGGGGCCCACTTTTTTTTTTTTTTTTGCAAAATTTGAAAATCGCTCCGGCCGAAACCCCCCCCCCCCTTGAGTGCCAGGGCCCCAACCCCCCCCCCCCCAAAAGGTAAAAAATCATGTGTTTTTACATGATTATTTTCTCAAGGGTAGGGGGGGGGGACCAGGCCCCCCCTATATGGTTCAGAAACTTGGAATATGAAGACAGTAGAAGAAGATATCTTGAGGAAAACAGAAAGGGTAATGATACGGAAGATGTATGGTATGAAATCGTTCAATAGAAATAACATAAGTGAGCTCATGGAAAGGATGGGTCTGGGAGAAACTGTGGTGGAAGTGGTAAAGAGAAGTAGATTGAGAATTTGAGATGGATGGGTCATATGTTGAGAAGGGAAGATGAAGAACGTGTGAAAAGAGTGTGGGATCTGGAATTGTATGGCAACAAGAGGGGAAGGAAGAAAGCAGTAAAGTTGGTCTAAATGAAGAGGATGCTCGAGATAACAAGAAGAAGTGGAGAGAGCGGGTGTCATCACGGCGCGAAAATCAGTAATCCCTGGTAAGAGGGAAAACGATGAAGATGATGATCATGGGAGCCTGGATAAACTAACAATCGCTTCCAAAACGTACCTTGAACATGTGACTTAATAAACAATATGAGGGGAGAACATAATTTTAAATTGCATACAGTACTTACTGGTTCACAATGTAACACTTCTTTGTTGAGTTGATACCAATGGTAAACTTTCTTTAGGTCATCCCTTTGTTTTAGACCACTAGCTCTGAAAGAAAAAACATAAAAACAAATTGACTTTACTTTCATGTGCACATGTAAAGTTTAAAAGAATTGCTTAGAAATATTTAATTTAAGATGTACCAATCATTAGAAAAATAAAAAAAATTATAAAGCTAGAATGTATAAAATCAACTTTAATTTTTTTTAAATCTGGAAATCAATTCAATTCTCAATTTTATTTTGCAATATAAAAATCAAAGTAAACAAAGTAACAGTAAATTTTAACTATATTTACAAAGGTTAAACAGGTATGAGGGGTTTTCCATGAAGGTTGCGAAAGCCTGTGAAGTTGGATCGCCCATTACAGAATGAAAAACTAACAACAACAAAAATCAAAATATTATAAGCACACAACAATAAATTAAGTAAAATAAGCAAAGTACAGACACTTCAACTACCTATCTATAAGACAAGAAAAAGTGAAATAGAAAAAATATATATGTAGAGGGGGAAAAGAAAACAATGAAAGGGGGTTCAGATATAAACAAAAATGGGAAATGGGAAGTTTGGTTTTTCTGAACCTTCTCTCAAATGAAGCATATTATAATTCGATGTCAATTTCAGTACGCTGTAGCCCTGAGCCTCTGACACTGAAATACATTTAAACTTGGGTAAAACTTTTTCTATATTTGATTGTCATACATACAAGTACATGTATAATGTACCTTGGTAGCTTTTTGCTGCATTGCCAATTTATAAGAATACACAAATAATTTTACCTTTACAATGTACATCTTTTTTGCACACACCCTTAAAACCAATGATCATCCTGGATGCATTTTTGTTTAGGATTAATTTTGTTGAAGGCTAAACGTATCTCCCAGACACCTTCCCAGCACACTTTCAAGTGTGAACAATTCGAAGGAACAGGAAGGGAATACACCTGGTTTGCCATCCAAGGCACATGGCTCAATTTGTCTTGTCATTATGGCCTTTCAAACTAGATTTCAATCAGTAATCAATAAATTATACACCTCTCTGGATGCAACATCGTACCACCAAGCATTTTAAATGGAAGTGGGAAGGTAATGAATTCACAGAGAATGTGTAGTGTATTTAATCCATTGGATACCATAAGGTCTGAAAGCCAATAATTGCTTGCCTGGATGGCACTATCCTGATAACTATTTTAGTATAATTTGTCAGCGAAGTGGTTAACAGTAAACGTCGCTCCTGATAATAAAAGTTGCCAGGCTGGATATCATGCATGAGCTATTTGTGAAACTAAAACAGTCGTTTTGAATTAAACATTGTTTCTACATTATTGATGTTCCCCTGGTTTGATGTGCTGTTGCTATGATTATTCAAATTTAATTATTTTTAATGGCTTTGCCCCTTACTTTATCTCTATTTTCCCTGTTTATTCATCAACCAATTGAGAGTTTTTACACAATTCAAATACGTGATAATGCTTTTTTTCTATAGAATTATTCTTGAGAAACAAAATTTATACTCATTCATGAACACGTACACTGTACATTTATCATTATCTTTACACATAGGCCAGGAATTGTTGAGCAGGACAAAAACACTTTTAAAGGTGAAATTCAAAGGAAATCACAAATATGTCAACTAATGTATTACTAGAAACTGGTAAGCTAACAGATGGCCATCGTATAAGTTTTAGGTCAACTACATATCGGGTGATTTTTAAAAATACAAATACAACCACCTTCATAGCAGCTGGGATATACGAGAGATTCGCCGGGAAAATAACGATGTTTTAATGACGTCACTATATGGACCAATAGTGCCCAAGCAGACGACATCCCATAAAGAATTAACACAATTCCAAAGCTATTATTTGTCAAATTATAATGAGTTTAGTGTATATAAATGTAATGGCATGTCAAACCATTCAAAAGGGGATATGACCCAAATCTGATAACTAAAATCTTTTCCTTGTAAATACACAGGATAGGGGTTAATTAACAATCAAAGAAACCAGACTTTCAAATTGAAAAACCCCGGAATGATATTAAGGACGGCATTTGTTCCCTCTTGAAACGCCGAACATACCGCGGTGTGTGCAGCTGAATATATAATGGCGTCTTATTTTGTTTACAAGCGACAGATTCCTTTATTTTTGTATCGCTGCATTTTTCATCAAAATAAAACTATGCGCGGGGTTTAGAGTGAGGCAATAGATTATACATTTAGCCTGACGGTAGTGAAGTAAGAGAAAGAACTCAACAGAAGATGAAAACACAGGCACTGAAAATGTGTGAGATGTCATGGGACATCGTCTGCTTGTGCAAATCATGTCCATACTGTGATCTCACACATCTCATCAGTGTTTGGAGAGCTCTTAAGGTGCTATGCCGGGGCTGTATTCAAGCGTTTTGTAATTTATAATAATCATTACTTCGAATGTTTCCAAGCATTGAATTTTGATAAACTTGCCGAATCAAAGTTTCAACTTTGCAATAATGAAAATAAAGTGAAAATATCCCTCCTCTTCCAATTGATAAATACATGTACCTCTTAAAAATTACAAGTTCCTCTTTGATTACATGATCAATATTTTCCTTTTCATCAAACAGTTAACATATTATTTTGTTGTTGTAATTTGTGATGACAGACATGAATATCTTTCAGTTTATAAGCAAAAAAAGCGTACACATGTACATGTACATGTATTACTTTTGAGTCAATATCGACAGCCAATTGCTGTGCATTGGGTATTGAATTACTGTACAAGGACAGATAGAATGAACAGAACAAGCCAATGCTCGATTTTTTTCTTTACTTGAATTCTCCCATTGACTTGACTAGATGAATCCCATGAGTGCCATTTTCACCACAAAAAATCTGTTTGAAGCCAGTATTTGTAAAGACCATAAGAGAGTTCGACAAATAAAGGTTTTGGCACTGAACAATCACTGTATTCAAAGGAGCCTTTAGGACAGCTTAAAAACCTTCCAGGAGCAATTAGTAACAGAAGTTAAAGATCTAGCCAGCAATACAATACCCAGCATTTACAAAGAAACCAAGAAAATGTTTTGCCTGTTATAATTAGCATTACAATAGAATGTCTTGAGATGTATGTGTTCCGTGGTGAAGTGGAGGTTAACACTTTTTGTACCTATATCAATGCTTCTTCTCCCCTACCCTTTGCATCTTTATAAACTCTCCCTATATTTCTCTCTTTTATCAGTCCTTTGAGCTCAAGGTCTCTTTCTCTTTCTGCGCATATTTTGATTGTGATGCTGCTCCTATTCCAGTTTCATATATTCATATTTATAATTATACCTGAATTTATTCATGATGTGATTCATAATTTATTTAAAATTCTTGCTCAATTGTCTTGTTACATGTTGTGTGCTGAGAGCCGAAGGATCGCCTGCTCATAGACTTTTCATTTATAGAGTCTTGACCAGCACTACTTGAAGGCCATCTGGCTTTCAGCACAGGACACCATTTTTTTGTCTTACATGTATGTTTCACATATATTATTAGAAGTTACACTGATGGAAAACAAATTTCTGTTTTATATAGACAATAAAATCTTGAATCTTAGAGACTGATAGTGATCGCCCTCCTTTTGGACAGGCCTACTTCTTTTACAACACGTACAGTCAGTGGGTATCAATGGAACCCTCAAAAATCATATTATGAATTCAAATTGGGACCACTATATTAAAGAAAAGATTGCTAAATCTTCCTTTAATGCAGTGATAAGCCCCAACACAAGCAAAACATTTTTTTAAGGAAAGGGGTCTGTAATTATCTATAAATTATTTTATTTTATTCATTGTTAATGTTATTTTAGGTACATGTACACGTAGATGGATAACAATCAATGCAAGTCATAAAATAATGTACATGTAGATCTACGTACACAAATCTGGAAGATATGGGCGTCGGGGGTAAAACTCCAAAAAGTAAAAAAATCTGACTGGACACACTAGGTACACATTATTTCTAATCTGATGTGAGTGGTGTCTAATTTGTACTACAGGCCGCACAAGGCTACATGTACTCTTTAAAAAAGGCAAATTTCAGGAGGAGCTGGTAACACAATTTTTTATTTCTCACTTCATAATCCTCATTGACAAATATGGCGTAAAACATTCACTAACAAGATACAATATTATTATATTACACATTCTTGTATCACTATTAAACAAGTCTTGACAGCTTTATAAAAATCTATTTGTTTTTCTTTCAGTTTCAATGAACCACTTGATGTACATGTAAGTAGGACACTCTGCACTTTACGTCCTTTTGTGACACACACACCACCCTATTCATCTGCAAGAATCTTCAGGAGTGAAGGAGGCAGATTATGACAAAGAAGAAGAAGAAGATAACAATTTAGTAACATAAATTCAGGATTCATGCAACAGAATTGGGTGACATGAGCAAGAATACCATACAACTGTTGTACAATTTGAAACATCTGTAAAGCAAGTTGACAACAAAATGTATTTTCTGTTAACGGCATCATTTGAACAATCTTTTAAAAACAACTGTAATTACCTGCTGACTTCCATCAACATCCTAAGCAAGATGCGAAAGAACTGGGCATCTTCAGCCTGCTGAGCAAGTTGGTTCTTGTCCTTCCTTGTTAGCGAAGATAACTTGGCATCCCGCTGAAAGCGTTCGGCCGACAGTAGCATTGTCATGAACTCTGAGAGCTTGGTCAACTGCAACAGAATAAACATAGATAATGTATGCACAGGATTATCAGCATCAGCATCAGCATCAGCATCGGTATACAGAAGTGTGAGGTGATCCTGTTGAAACTTCCGGTCGTTACATTGAGTGGTGCTTCGTTCTAATAAACCTGAAACTATTTTTGCTCGCATGGCGGGTGGACGCACATATTAATTTTATGGAAGCATTTGGTGCTGAGAGGACCAGTGCTTGTCCAATCTGATCTGATTTACAGTTTATTCAGAACTCTAATCTCTATGTCAAAACAATTTTCAATATCATTAATCCATACAACAAAATGATGGAATAACATTACTAGTTGTTTTTTGTTTGTGCAATTTATAACAGTCATGCCATACTTTAATTTGCCAACAAAATTCTTGTTGCAAAATGTTTGCTTGGCCTGGGTGCACCCTTGCCCGGGGCCTTAGTCTTATTAATAATAGTGGGGTTTTTGTATAGTGCTCATATCTGTGACATCTGTTATATTTGACCCTCCTGGCGCTCCGCAATTATATTGGTATTTGTCTGTTCATTTTTTCCACAGGGAATGAAGAATATACCACTGCTTATGACACAATGATATGATAGTACTATTATGCATTAGATGTGTGTATGTAACTATTTAGGTCTTGGGACCATTCTTTAACGTCACCATCCAAAACACTTGACTCAGCTCAGCTCAGCTCAGTCCCCAAACTTTGGGAACCGAGTCGAACCACCGAGTCAGTATGAACATGTAAGGTGAAGACAGAGAAAATGAGCTGACCTGACCATACCTCGGACATTACCCTTAGACAAACTCACAACTCCTTAGAGTAAAATGCTAATGACTATACTGTATCATGCCACTTACCCTTGACCTCCGCAGAACTTTTATGTCATTCTCAAAATCTAGTCCTCTGCTCGGATCAAACTGAAAAGTCTTCGACTTTGTTTGACTGCTGGTTGATAACGAAAACATTGTAGCAGTTTAGAATTTAGAAGACTAAGGAGAAATTACCAACATACGGGGTACAGGTAGAATGTTCTCATTGATTTGGGTCACAGTTAAAATCCTTTAGGCCTATTTAATTAGTCTTCGGCTCAGCTGAACCAGCAACAACATCGTTTCCAATAATCCTGCAGGAACGAGGGTTTAAGTGGAGCCCTAGCTAGCGGGACAGAGTCCCACTAGAAAGCAATCACGGTCCCGCTGGCTTCCATCTACCCCAGATTTTGCTGTCAACTCCGACCACAAAACTGCCGCAAGTAATTCATGAAATACAGAAAACTTCCTAAGATTCCCTCGTCGAACAAAACTCCAGATCAAAAGTTTCTTATTCTGGATAATGAGATGAAAATGACACCGTCAATTCCTATTAATTTAGTTTATTTTTGTTATTATCTTGCAAAAGTTCGGCACCTTCTAGCGTCCATACATGTCCTTCCCACTTGAAGATTTGGGTTGTTCTATTATGATAAGGGATACAGTCAATCATTTTCCACAAAAGAAAATCGGTTTCAATGCATTTTTATATATTTTAAGGTAAACCACACACACACACAAATATTAGAATTTTACTTTTTGTATAATACATTTGTTCTATAATTAAAAAAAATTATACAAACATTGTAAGAGAAATATATTTATACCCCTCGTGTATAATGAACGCGTCCTACTTGAGCTCCTTTATGCCACCGTTTCCAACACAACGTTGTGTCATGTGACCACAAGCTGTACGCCAATGAATACCAGTGTATGTAACAGGTGGATTAAAAAAAGCAAGCTTAATTGCTCTTTAGCTAGATGGGTACTCAACTAGCGCCACCATTCATTTGGGTGGAATCAATAAATAGTGAGTAATTAACGCGTTTGTCGGGGTATCATTGAACATTATGTCGGCAAAATGATAGATTTCTGATTTATTAAAAGACTGATAATAATAACATTAATAGGGAGAAGATGAAGAAAAAAAGGTTAACAAGGAATTTTTAGATAATGTGTCGATGATTATGGGTTTCTTAATTCTTATAAACGCGCCTATAAGAGAGAACAAAGGAGATAATTATATTCTCTCGCAAACGATTAGGAATAGCTGGTTGGGATAGTGATTTTCAATCAAAGCTAAAGACGTCCATGACTAGATGAATTAGGCCTAAATGTTTTTGAAGGAGGTCTGAATGCACTTCATCTAAAAATAAATATCACATGAGATTTCTTGAATCTTGCTAACTCCTGCCCCAAAAGGGCGAGGAAAAAAGAAAGAAAGAATAAAACAAAAAGGAGAAGAAAAAGTATAACTTTTCTGTTTTCATTTCATAAGCTTAACGATTTACTGATCGTTAAAAATATTAGGCCTGTTACATCACATATCCTTAAAAAAGAGAAAAATGTTGCAAAGGAGTGCCGTCGGAATAACGGCCATTAATTTACCACATATAGATATCGGCATTTAATTGCCATTTAAGACCCCCCCCCCCCCCCCCCCATCGCACAAAAAAGAAAGCTGTTAGACCATGTGCAGTAATGTGACATGATTAAAAATACTATAGAATAAGAATGTGACCATGTTCAGCCTAGAAAAAGCAGATTAAAAAAAAAACACCAAAAAAACATGTCAACTGAAAATGGAAAGTATAGATATGAAACAGAGGTTAGAGTAAATTCAATTAAGGCAAGGGATCTAGATGATTCCATCGCCTAATTGCACGGAAATCTACTATAAAATATGATGCAGCAGACTGATCTTCATCAATATATTCATCAACTCTATTAAAAAATTAGTATATGTAACTTTTGGGGAGCTTACCCAAATATAGCCCCGAGAATATGGCATACGCGTATTTATCAAAATAAGCTCTAGAGACTAGACAATACTAAAAAATCACGACGTTGGTATAACAACGCCCGAATACTTGCGGAATGAATGCCTACCAAGTACAATACCCTTACACAAAATGATAATCCTACACAGTGCGTACCCTTAGTCCCTGACGCTGAAAAGAATACAGTTCAAGAATTATGATGAATTATAATATCAATTAAAGTGATGCTTTATGGGAGCGCGATCAAGTGCGACGCCCATGCACGTAGTTTCTCACGGAACGAATCTACACTCGGGAGTAAACCTAGCGGGCCAGGTGGGCGGTGCACCGCAGTGGTTTCTCGTTTTTGTTGGAAAGCAAATATTGAGTTTCTATTGTCGAAAAGTATTGATCACAGAGTCGCGTTATTGAGCCGTGGGTCACCGCTCGGTGTCATTTATCGAAAGGAGCTCTGGCAAAAAGGACACGCATGATTGTTGTGCGAGTTCTTTTCATGGCTAAAATGCCATGACACTGATAAACACGACACCCGGTGAGTCAGTAGTCAGCAATTCACTGCAACATTAGTGATATCTAGAATATTGAGTAATACTTGAATGCTGCTTGTCGTTGTTGTCACAGTGCTGTAAAGGTGTATAACTGCATATCAGATTTCATTTCTCAGTTTCATATCACTGTCGTCATTCTGCAGTTAAATTTCAATGTGCGGACTCAAGTGGACGGAAGGGAGCTTGTGAAAAACGGACAGACAAGAATATAGTCGCTGGTGCCTCGAAGATTCTCTTTGATCGTATTGATTTCACGATGCCCTGAAATGATGACTGACGAAATGTGATCAAATAATTGTAAAAAATATCATCTTTAACCAGCAACACGATTGTCTGAAGAACCCTTTCTCTGAAAAGACCGGGTAATCACCTCTCTCCAGTAATTTAGCCAAAACATAGGTGAGTAGTTATGATTAATGTCTATTGAATGCTACATTTTTATTGTCTACGAATCAATACCGAGGATTGTCACCGTGGCTTTAGCCTGATTGTGCTATTTAGATTCCTAGTCAAGAATAAGCATACAATATATTTAAAAATGTGTCATAAATAAGGTGACCATTGCATGTCAACGTATCAGGTGTTCTATAATGAATTCCCTCGTTATACATTGAGAGGCTGTATATTCTATGAAGCATATTCGTAGGCGTATGTTTCAAAGGATTTAATTCTAATAATAATTGCTGATAATAATAATAATAGCAATTATAATAATGATAATGATAAAGATGATGATAGATAGATGGATTATTTTATTGATCCATATTCAAAACATAGAAAATTGGCCTCCACTGGCAGCACATAGACAAAATACAATGTAGTTACAAGATAATTGATAAACACTTATATGATGATAATAATACTAAATTATTATCAATTATAATAATAATAATAGTAATAGTGGGGTTTTGTTAAGCGTTTATGTCTGTCAGACTTGATAATCCCGGCGCTCCACAGTGTTATTACCCCGGCTTTAGCATGGGTGCCAATATGTTACTCTACCATTGTAAGGAATGAATTCACTGACTCCTCCGTGTCCAGTGTGGCCTATGGAGATTAATGACTTGCCGAAGGACGTCGTTGGTGAATAGTGACATATTTCAATCATCAAGTTCATTTCATTAGTGCATGCGTTTAATGGCGATATCGAAGTCATGTTGGAATAAACCTCGAGCAAAAGATTCTAATACGCCACTGATAAGGTCGAAATCAGAATGATATCAGACCAAATATGATATTTAGATTTAGCCTACAAATGCCATGAATTGGTTGGTTTAATTTAATGTTGGTTTGCCTCGTTTAATTGTCGGTGTGTCTGAGGTATAAGCTGATTCTATAAGGTACACCCTGTCCAAATTGACCGATCAGTGGGGGTAATATGGATTAGTCTTTCTCACGCATTACACATTACTAACCACTTACATACGCCAAGATCATAGTGCTTATTGGGTACATTGAAACTTCTTTGAACATATAGATGTAGCCCTCCCTTTGGGATAGGGACCACTCACAAACGGTATATGTGGTTGCTACAAATTTTTACAAAATAATTCTTTCTTAAATACGCCTATAGGGTGAACAAAAAAAAATCGGCGTTTCCCCCAAAAGCATAAATCCATATCAGAACAATTATTCCCAAGAGCAATTACCCCTGGAAAACTACCCAAAGGGCACTAATATCTCAACTACGCAATCACCATTTAAGTGAGTAAGGCAGAATGACAATGCCTTATAAATCCTTTGTGTTTTACGTAACATCGTGTCCCTGGAGAAAAATATGACCTGTCAAGACAACTTTGGTTCTTTATTGTTTTGTCGTGTATTTACGTAGAGTCTTACAGACTATCACCGTCAGAAAAGCAGCTGTATGGTCAGCCTTGGTGCCAACGTTTTTGTTCACACCATATTCATATTGTACAGAGAAGGTTTCTCTGGAAACAACCTTGGTCAAAATAATGGCAAATCAATATGAACTTCATGATGAGTATTTGTCAAAGTTTTTCTAAGCAAACAGGCCATGTTTGTTCACAAAACAAGAATGGCGACAACTGACTGATATTTGATTTGATTTGATTGATTTATTCGAATTTATTCTATTTCATAATCAATTGTTTGCACAATAAAGAACATAGTTGACAAAGTAAGTTCAAAATTATAAAATAAAAAACGGGAATCTACCGGAAATCATAGCTTGTTTTTGTAGGTTCCCAAGAATAAATATAATGTTAAAATTATTTTCATAATTCATTTTAAAGTGTCTAAATAATCGAAATATACAAAACGAACAGAATTACAAAACGAAACACAAAGGACAGGAAACTGACATTATCATTCCATCGTCGTCGGGTTATAATATATACTCTCCAAAAAAAAAGGGGGGGGGGATTCATAGATATATTGACAAACGAGGACGAGGTTCAAAACGAAAAGTAGATGTGTTGTGGTCGAGTGGTTTTAACAACTTGACTCAGCATGTGAAGGTTGCGGGTTCCAGCTTCAGTACAGCATTAATTTCCTTCATTTATCACTCTTGACCCAGGTGTTTAAAGTAGGGTTTATTCCTTGAATACAGCGTGTGCTGATACCAGCTGTTGGAGCAGAAGCTGGGGTTCAAAATGATTTTTTTGGAAAGCAGTTTTGGCAGCACAATATGCGTTAAAGAATTAATTATTCATTTTCTATCTATCTTGATACCTTCTCTCATTACTTCTCTGCCATTCAGTACACTCTTGTAGCTGCATTCCACTTCCCATTTTTTTATGTTCTCTCCCTAGTTGGTTTTCGGCTTCCCTCTCAGTCTATTCTACTTTTCCTTCTTATATATTTTGATAATAATAAATAAGTAAAGAACATAAAAAAGTAAACTACGTTTGGAACAAAAACTAATTCTAAGTGCAAAAAAGAAGTCGAATCAAATAAGCATAAAGTACACAAAATGATTTTATGCAGAGAACTCGTATACCAGTACAGTTTCAAAAACTTTATTTATAATCACACATTTAATACATCAGTACAAAATAAGATAAAGAGAGATAGAGAGAGCGAGAGGGATGGGGGGGGGGGGGGTGGGGGGCGAGAAGGAAGAGGGTGGGGGTGAGGTTAAATTATAAGTTAGACTCTTTATTTCCTAAAACTTAGTAATACTCTTAAATATTGTTTCTTGGAATGTTTAAAAGTCTTCAAACTGTAGCGGAGAATAGCATTTTATGATCGTTATAGCATATATCGCTATTGCAATCTACACTAAATATATTGAAACTTTAACGCGGATAAAAAAATATATGAAAAGATGATATAAAAATCAATAGATTTAATTTAATTCACTGTACTTAAATTCAATGCAACGCCAACAAATAGTAAAGTCGAATGCCTATCAAACTACTAACTTACCTCCAGCGGACTGTGCATTCCTAGAACCCGTTGTTTGTCACGAAATATTTCGGCATTCTATATTTTCTAAAAAGATGGAATTTCAACTATTCAAAAGAAAAATAATACAAATGTATGCTTGCAAAAGGCTTTTCAAAATATGCCGAATATGCTCTTTTCTGTCCGCGTCATACTGCGGTTTGTGGTAAAAAGTTTCAAGCAACGGTCTTGACAATGCAAGGGAGCTATTGAACAATATCACCTTTGGCATGTTGAATAGAACAATGCCTTTTACACAGTTTTTTCTCAGAGTAACCGACTGGACAGCTTATCGCATTTGATTCTTTAGCTGTTCACTGTGAGTGATTTATTGAATTATTTTCTTCATTAAAACGAGATTGATTGATTAATCAATGTTTGACGTGTTATGTTATATGACTTATACAAATCCTTTCAAAAATAATAATAATCATATTAATAGAAATATTATTATATAGCGCATTATACCTTTATAAAAAGGTCTTAAAGCGCTTAGGAAAAAGTGAGTAGACGTGAAACAAATAAGCTGCAATACATTTTCTTTGACTAATGAGTACAAATATCAATGAGTCAATTAAACATATAAGTTTTAAGAGCAGTTTTTAATTAATGATCTGTCTTAGCTTGCCTTGCATTATGAAGGATATTTACTCCACAGCTCAAAACCACTTTCACCATAAGACTTTGTTTTGGCCACATGCACAAAATACATATCTTTCTGTATTGACATCTAATTTCTTACGGGGTAACATTTTATGAGTGACTTTGACAGATAGGATAGAGCCATGTGCCATGATAACATTTGAAAGCGAGCAGCAAGATCTTAAAGGTACTTTGTCCCTTTTGCAGCCAACCTCAAATTCTGTAGAACTTTGCAGGAATTATGAATATGTCATGTATGTCCTATCTGTGAAATTTAAACGTTAGCAGTGTCCTAATATTCAAATTATGCAAGGAAACCCGTTTGGCCTGCAAATGGGACATAGTGCCTTTAAACGGTAACCAATGTAAAAGTCCTAAAACCGTCGATATGGATTCATTTTATTTTTGTCTCATGCCTTGTACTAGCGGAGTTTTTAAGGACCAGAAAGGGATGTTTTTGATGAGAATATGATACATGGTTTTATTAACATTATCCAAACACGGTCGTAACAAGAAATGCTGCATTTAAATATGTATGTAATTAATGCATAAGTAGGCTTTAAATAGTATATTTGTGTGAAGTAACAAACCGTTGAATGTCATTCGGATCATGATACATAATAAAAGAGGAAGCGACATGAAGGTAAATTGAGGTAATGGATGCTTCACCATGAAGAAAAAAGAATGAGGAAGTGCTACTGCTAATTACATACTCCAAAAAGGGAATTCTGTCATGCAAGTATCAATTAAAGGGGAACTGATTTTCCTTTCCCTCAGATCATCTGAGGCCAAATCTTCTAAATCATGAAACGCCCTTGTATTTTTTAATATTACCCATGTTCTCTAAAATATATAATACGTCATTCTAAACAACAGACTACATGTGGGAACGATAGCAACAGCACAATTAAACATGCATGCAAAGATCCGAATGATAGAATACAGATGACATCTTAACCGTGACTGTGATTACATTACCCAATGTACCGTGACTAATTCAATGATTCAATGATGTATTTTGACAAATTACTGTATGAACGGTTTTGCGTGTGCATCCTAAAAAATCCTCAAATACTCAACAGTGACTTTGATTATATCGACCCAAGGTACCGTGATTAATACAATAATTGTGATTATCGTCTGAACAGTATTTGCGTGTGAATCCTCAAAATAGAGGCTTTTTACCATGCACAAATAATACAGTAGAAAAAAAATTGATGACAATAGCAGCGTGCTGTTGAAACACAACTTATAACCATGTACCGTGCTGTTGTAAAGTCAGACAACAATTAGATTATAACTGGCGTCAGAGCGACACGGAAGAGAAATGAATAGAAGGGCAGAAAATACATAGACGGGAAGAGGAGAAATGCCCCTTTTTGATGTGGCCTGCAACGTTTACATTTGTAGAGAACATAACCAATCCATGTTCATTAGTTTTCATTTGGGACTCCGAACAACATCTCTTTTCAGAGTGCTACACACTGAACTGTAACAGCTTATGCCGAAATGATGAAAAACGCCATCTGCTTGGTCTATTTGCAAGGAACCAAGCACTTGTGGAAATAAAATATAGCTTCTAAAGTGTAAACATTAAAGGTAACACACCGATGGGATATCTATAGATTTACTTATAATCAGCAAGCAGTGCATGGTTTATTCTTAGACGAAGATTTTAGCAAGTCATCACAACTATTTATGACAATTTGAAAATAAATGGTTTGCCAATCTGAAAAAGCGAAATTCTGCATAACATACGCCGATTAAAAAAAACAAATTAATAAATTCTTATCAAAATATACAGTTTTGTTTGTGATATGTCGTCTCTATATAGATGGATCATTTTCTTTAAAATCTTGATCAATAGCATTTTTTCTCTTTCTTTATTTCCTTGATATTGAACAGATGACCATGGCGGAAACCGCTGCCTCACTTGCTAAAGATCTCCGCGAGGAGTTCCTGACCTGCTCTCTTTGTTTAACCTGCTTCTCACGTCCTAAGATGCTTCCTTGCCAACACGTCTTCTGTACCCGATGTCTTCACAAGTGGTACGAGTCCAAGTCCAAAGAGAACGGTGCCCAGGCCAAGACGGTCACCTGCCCCATGTGTCGGGTTTCACAAACTGTCCCCGCGAGCGGCATCCTCGGCTTTCCTGATAGCCACGCGATGACGTCCTTGATGAACTTCCTAGACGGTCGCGTCGAGTCGACGGCGTCGTGGGGACCGACAACGATCGGACTCATTCGAGAGTTTGGGGTGAAAGGGAGCCAGGATGGTCAACTCTATAAACCGCTTGGTATCGCCATTAGCGCAGAAACAGGCGAGTTCTTCGTCACAGACTGCAAGAATCGAATACAGGTTTTCGACAACGATGGCGTGTTTGTCCGAAAATTCACATTTCCCCAGCTGGCCAAGAAATTCACGCCGACGCATCTGACTATGACAAAGCGACTGAGCTCGGATGGGAAGGAGTGTCTCCTGGTGTCCGATGTCAGTAACAAGCAGGTTCTCGTCTGTTCGCTGGGCGGGGAAATTCTCATGCGGTTTGGCGGCAACGAGTTGGGAATGCCCGGTGGTGTTGCGATCACGAAAGACGGATCGCTGCACGTCGTTGACATGTATGCCCGGGTGGTGCGGACTTACAATCGCTCTGGACAAGAGGTTCGTAGCTTCGGTGGTCTTTCGTCATCGCAGAAAAAGATCGACCCCAACACCGAAGCAGACGAATGCGTCTTCCGTAGCCCTACTCACATCGCGGTTACACGAGCTGACATCCTGCTCGTTTCCGATAGTCAATCACATCTAATTTATATCTTCGACAGTGACGGCGGCTACCGAAACAAGTTCAACTCGATAGGCAAACATGGAGGCCAGCTACAGTGTCCATCCGGTATAGCTATTGATAATTCGGGAAACATCTTGGTTGCCGATACATCGGTTAATAGCGTCCAGCTTTTTGACTATCGCGGTCGATTTCGAAATCGAGTTGACGACAGTTTCGATGGACTGCGAAATCCACAAGGCATGGCCATAGTGAACGACGAACATGTAGCAGTGGTGGACACGGATAACCATGCTGTAAAGCTTTTTTCTTATTTATAATTAATACTCTCAGAACCCATCAGAACTAAGTTATTGCAGACTAGTCTAAATCGTGGGTGTCTTTCCGTCCTGTAGGTGCAAACGAACTCGTTCTGGAGACCTTGCAGGGATTGTACGACAAATGCTTCAGCGACAATTTGGTCCGTGGTCAGCTTCGAACACAATTAGAATACCCTGGACCAAACGTTATCTAAGAATATCCCTAAACAGTATAGGTGGTATATTCTTGATTATTTTTAATAACGAGTATCAGCATCGATTTCAATCAATTTTTGTTATTGATGTGAAGATCAGTCCAATCTGTAATCTGTTCGTGTTTATATTTATATTATCTGTTTGTGTTTGTATTTTTTTCTGTTGATGTATTATAATCCTTACACAAATAAATAGTTTTCCTTTGGTCTTTATCATATCTGAGAAAAAGACTTGTAATATCCGAAGGGCACCCGATAAAACATTCTTGGGAATATAAAGATATATACTAGAATATAAAAAAACGTGTACTTGTGTTATCGTTATGATTGCTCTTTGACGATTGCATAGACCTCTGAAGATTGACATTTGCTGAGTAGTTTTGCCGAGATTTGCCTGATAGTTTTCCTGATTTTTTTCTTAAAAGTCACTGGTCAAGATACAATGTTGCCCACATAGTTGGATAATTGTTTTCTTAACTCTTTTCATAAAATAGTTGTGATAGTATGGCTTATTCTTTAAGGATAAACTTTAAATCTTCTCAGGACTTTGATGATGAATCTCCCTCATGCCAATGACTTTCTACATTGATCAATATAGTTCTGGGACGATATAGAGGATAAACCATAGTTTTGTCACAGCCATTTTATCTTCTCTAACTTTATGTTTCAAAAGTTAATTTTAATTCTCAGTAAGTATGTCTGAGCAATTTTTCTTAATTCATGTCCAAGCCAGCTGTAAATTATTTTCCGTTTGTTTGTGTCCACATTTAAGTTGGAGCAACCCTGTCATTAATCGTGCCAATATACTCTTATATTGTAAGCGTAAGAATTAATATATATATATATATATATATATATATACGTTATTTTAATCATCAATATCGATATAGGACTGCAGTCTGCCCAAGAATCCTGAAACTAAAGTAGTTGCGCCGCGTATAGAGTGGCATGGACAAAGTTTGAAACTGAACATGTGATATTCGGGAAGGAAACAACAGCCTCTGGCGGAATTGTGCTCTTACGCCCAACATTATGATTGTAGTCAACAAACACTGTCCATCCGATTTTTCATATGATTCAATCATTCAAATTCCATATCAATCTAGGCTGTTCGCATTCAATTATTTGACCTTTGAATTCCGGAAATTGGGTTCAACCAAGAAAAATACATAACCTCTTTATTTCCAATTCGATGCATACGAATACTCGCGTTTGCAATTATTATTATGGGCAATATTTGATGTAATGGCCACAGTGCGTTTGGAGCGTATCAAAGCATGAAGTGGTTATAAATCCCCTTTCCAGTCATGTGTACAGGCCTATTGAGGTTTTAGGTATAAGTATGTTGATAAGTGGTATTCGTACAGCAAAGAGAGAATTATGCCAAATGTCTTTTCTTTATTCAAAGGTTTATTTGATAATTTGAACTAACCCGTCTTCAAAAGAAACTCAAACACATACATTTCCAGTGTGAATCATAACTTGCATTCTCCTTTGGTATAAGTAAATTTTGTATTAGAATAAAATAGTTTAAACAGCTCTGAAGTGTTATCATGAATAATGTATTATTCATTGTTAGGTGAAAAATTCTGAATAATCGCCATGCGTATTTCGGCATAACCGATCTTAATATAAGACTAAATACGGAAATCAGTCTCTCATCAACTGGTTTTATTCCCATTAGGATGATTAAAGAAATTGATAGTGAAAACAAAAATAACTAACGAAACTAGTAGTTTGAAGAGGACTATAGTTCTCAGGTAGTCCTTCTGATTTTATTAGGAAGATACCTATTCTGCTATATTCAGAGAAGGATCGTTTTAACACAGATCGTATTTGGTTGATGGCAAATATAACATTCGTTTATCTCACTGTCTATATTTTTAGACTGACTAACTTGATCCGACAAAATTAACTTTTGATTATCTGGATTTAAGGAACATAATGGCTTCAAGGAGCTTATTAATAATAATAAATGTGCATATAAACTTATCATGAAAAGAAACCTATAAATACCCCCGGAAGCGTTATTTTTTATGCGGCACAGATTGGGGCTTTTTTTAAAAAGGGGTCTTGATTTACAGACTAATACTGGTCGTGTGCGTACTAGACAGTATAAGTTATGTAGTAGAGGTCTGTTTTTAATAGTGTTACATTTAATCCATTACAAATCATTACATTAACAATTAAAATCAAATTGGAAAACTGAAGAGGAGGCAGCACATCAATAAGGAGAACATCACAATAATTAGTCAATAAAACTGACTAACTTAAACGAAGAGGAATGTTATCTAAACACGATAGTTCGCGACGGATATACAAACTGGCAACCTCGCCCCAAACCTCCAGAAATACAGAGGTATGAAAGGGACTCCAAAACAGGGAAACCATTGCGGTTTCATAATAACGCTGGAAGCGTATTGTTAAGTAGGAGTGAATGGCCGAGGTTGGCCAATGCTGTACTTTTATCCGTCAATGTCCAAATAATTATTTCTTTACGTTCAACGCAAATCTTTCGAGGCAGTCATCGATCGCATATTGACCGCGTGGTATATTTCATAAATTCATCCCATTATATTTATTTTTCACATTCTTGTGCAATGTACGTTGATGCCAAGAAATTACACATACAGTCATTATTTTCATGTTTATGTATAGTTCTGAAGAGAAAACTATAATTTTGTGTCATTGATTTCTCAGACATCACTCATGTTTCGTATTCTGTTTTGTCATTGTAAATGTCATTGTAATGTTGTTGTTTTCTGAAATTGTGTTTTGAAATACTTTTAAAGAAAAGACACTTTATTTAAAATAAATCTATCACAAAAACTAAAAACTATCTTAAAGTAATTATTAGCCATATTTTGAATTTGGGCATTTTATTACTATCAACTTTCTTCTTGCCTTTCGATAATTATGATTTGAATAAAACGTGTGAATTATAAAGAGTATACGCTTAATGCTAGATTGAAAAGATGATATGATCACACAATACAATGTAACAAGTTTAGAAACAAAAATGATGATTTATTTTTTTAAATTTTTTACAGAATTGTTTTCTGGATTGAAATGGACGGCAGAGTAACTATACCATTTTTGTTTTTGTTCTGGAATATAATGTTTTATTATTCGTGCCGATATGAAATCTGACTTGCCGTGCAGGGGTCTCGATACCAGGCCCGCAAGGGGGGGGGGAGGCATTTGCCCTATACAAATTATGAGACTGTCGTGCATTATATATTGCACTATTATAAATTAGCCCCCCGCCCCCATCCCGAGGATGGTTAGACGCCCTGTTGCCGTGTAATTTTCTTTGCATATAATTTCTATAACCTGAAGTATAACAGTTTTGCAAAGATTTATTCTTGTATGTCCAGCCATTTTTTGAGCTGGATTAATTCAATAAAATCACAATGTTACGCTCACTCAAGATTTCCACGTGTGGTGTTTTGTAATTATGTTTTGTAAAAAATTGAATTTTAACTTCGAAATCACTTGGTTTTACGTGGTGAATGCATTGATGTCATCCGAAGTCACATTCTTTATACGGAATATTATTCAATTACGGATATTGGGGGAGAGGGAGAAAGAGAGAGAGAGAGAGAGAGAGAGAGAGAGAGAGGGAGAGAGAGGGGGAAAAATAGCAAATTTAACAACAGTATGCAGGTACTGATTAAATAGAACATAGTTATCGAATAGACAGGGAATACGATGCTCTGTGTGCAGATGTGTATGAGAGAGTGCGCGTTTGTAACCATGATTTACCAGATAAAGAATTCGGGGGTTATATGGGGATTGGCTCACATTTTTCTTACTTTGAGCCCTCTGCGAAATATCTTACTCTTTATGATTCGAAATTGTAATATCAGGGAAAACACATATCTTTAAAGTAGTTGTCAATCATAAAAAAATTTCCTCTATAAAAAATATGAGTATGCTCGGGTCACTTTGCAAGCCGTACAACCTATAGCGGACACTTTTAAATCAGGTCAATGCACTGTCCAATAGATCTTATCAGTAAAAGATATGAAAGCCCTTAGTTATGCCCCCTAAATGACAATGAATTACCAACAAAGGAAACTTGGATATAAACGATTTTTGTGCTGATTTTAGCAATGTTATCACAATTGAGGGGTTATCCCAGTAGAGCGAGTCCTTGAGACCAACAAGCAAAATATAGTACATAAGAAATATAGAAAAGAAGAAAGTAACAAAAAGTCCCTGAGACCGATAGCCCACGAGACTTGAAGGAAGATAGAATCAAATATATCAGTTTTTCGGTCTTTGGTCTACTACTCTATGAAAAGTGATTAGAAGGGCTCAAGTTATCAACAATATCGGTCTCGTTGGCTGTCGGTCTCGGTGTCGTGGGCTGTAAAGTTAGTCAAAATGAAGTACAGGAATGGTTCTGTTGATGACTGTTATTTTGGGGCGTGAAACATCTATCCATTCAAAATTTGACAAACGTTGAAAAATCGCTCGATTGAATCAAGTATCCATGCACGGTATAGGGCCAACATTCCTCTAACCAATAATGATCTTTTTTAAACATGACGGAAAAAACCCAGCGTATTCATGAAAAAAATAATCATTATCACCACCACCATCATCAGAACCATCGGCAATGTGGATACATGGGTAGCATACATCATGAGCTGGATTTTCGTCACTGAATATGGATTTGTCGCCTCCGCCCTCCACACCAAAAGTTGTTAATATTTCAACATATTTTATTCTATTTTTCCGACAAATTTATTTTAATACAGAAGACTGCAATAGGAGATAACACTGAAGGGAAATCCATAAAGTTGGGAAAAAAAGGGGAAGTTGTTATATTCAAATATAGGACATATAAATAAACATTCCTCTCTGGTTTAGTAAGCTGCAAATCAATCATCATTTTACATTTCTTTGTAAAATGTCCACATTTTTACACTTGACAGCTTTAAATACACTGTAAATATGCACATTCATCTAATTCAAAGCAATTCATCCCACGATTTATGTCATCTTCCAAAGACATTGACATACTGTGAAATGAACTTGTGATTCATTGATATACAGCTAAATTTTTGACGGACAAGCACAGGTGTAGGCAGACTGATTGATGGGGGGGGGGGGGGAGCGGTGACACACAACTTCATAGTCATATAGTTCCACAAAAGGTATTTTTATTTTTAAAATGCCTATATAAGGATGTTAACAACAAAAAAAAAAAAAAAAAATCCTCGTCAGAGCGGTGAAGGCATGTCTGTTTCATTCATATATCATACAGATTATGATATAGGAGAGTCCGAAAAACCATTACGCTACCTCGATCTGAATCAGATGCGTCTGTACAACAAAAATAACAAAAATAACAACAAAAACAACAAAATGAAATGGGTAGGATGGTGCGTCTAAAATACCTGCAGGTATACTGACAAGATGAAAACAGTTTAAACGAAGAAAGAGGCCCCACATTGTATTAAATTATGCGGACCAGATAGCTTTAATGAGAGAAATATAAATGTGTGTGTGGGTGAGTGTGTGTGTGGAGGGGTAGGGATGGGGGGGGGGGGGGGGGGGGGGGTCATATACCCCCACATCCCTAATGACGGTGCACCTATTTTGAACTTTGTTACAGACTTTTTCCTGGTAAGAGACAACGCTTTTACGGTACCCAACAGATCGATGGGTGGTTATGTTGGAGTATCGACTTTTATTCTTGTTCTTGTTTAATTGATTGTAAAACATGTTCGATCAGCATATCTGGAGCTGAGACAAAGACATAACAGATGTTAATCACTTAAAGTCAATAAGACATTCACAATGCTAAAGTACAGGTAACCTTGACTTGTCAACAACAATGTTTGCTTGTTAACAGGCAGATAACCAGTGGCGGCTCCAGACGAAGGGGAGGGTGTCAAGTTCGTGGACCTTCTCCTTGTTTATTCGTCCAATCATAACTTTTGCGCGCGCCAGCTCTTATAATTGAAAATCCGGGATCTGCAACTGGAAAAGGTCTATGCGCAGAAGTTCTTAAGGTTGTTTACTTTTTTCAATCAAATAACAGTGGTGGTTCTAGGTTTTCTTTTAAGGGGAAGTCCTCCCCCCCCCCCCCACACACACACAAAAATGCGATGCGAAGGGAACCTGAATGTAAATGAAAGGGACTGACTCCATCGAAGGATCAATGCATGAGATCGCAAATAACCTCAATGTTATATAACAAAATGTAATATGCATACATTGCCTTTTTCAGTATACCCTATATATTATATTCATATCCAAATTTAGATTTCCCCTCGTGCCACTGTTGGAAATGAAATAAATATGAATATGTATATTGTATTTCAACCTCGGCCTGAACGTGGCCTCGGTGAAATGTAAGATTACTGCGAAAATACTGAATTTGACGGTTCGTATATTTGTTATATAGTGAACGCTTGAGCGTACAATGTTTGTACAGTATAATATATATATATATATATATATATATATATATATATATATATATATATATATATATATATATAATATATTATATATATTATAGAGTATTATAATCATTTAAAATTCGTCAATATGATGAACTTAGTTGTTTGTGTGTGTGTTCGATGTACGACGGATTTCCCTTTCCCACTTCTCACATGTAACCTCTCCTGATCAAAAAAAGATATTATTGAAGTAATAATTGATAAAAAAATCACACGGTACTTCATAAGATCAATATCTGCGTAAGTAATACATTCAGCTGGATACTTTAATAATAGGGAAAAACAGCGGGATTCAGTCTTTGAAAGGCAAAATTTGATAAGGCAGAATGCAATCATTTTATAGTCACAAAATATGATACTGTTCATATTTTTAAAAAAATGAGTGTGACATGCATTTTGTGTAAGATCGCAAATATAGATGCAGAGAAATTCAATAATTCTATTTACTTGAAAAAGAGATATCAAGTAAATATCTGACGGGAATTAATACAAACACTAAACATGAAAAACCAAAAGTCATTGAGTCAGCAATCGCTTGTTTAAAATTGCTTTAGCTTCTTCACTCGGAAATACTTTTGA